ATTCTTCTCTATAATCTTCTTTCTCTCTTACAACCTTCTTTAATTGATGTTTTAATTCTTCATTTTCTTCTTTCAATTAGACCGTATCTGATCTAAGTCCTTGATTGTCTTACAATAATTGATTCAACTCAATTGATCGCTTATCCAATAAACCTTTGGTTATTTTGAGTTCCTCTCTTAACAATCTGACATTGGCACTTTCTTGTATACTTAAATAATCAGATGCAGATGTTTCATTCAAATGACTTTATTATTTATGAAATGAATCTCTACTTCGTCTAACAATTTCAGTCTAAGTGGTTTCTAAATAGGAGGAACTACGTTTAGGTTCGGTGATGAGTTTTTTTTAATGAGTGGATATCATATTCTTGATGAAACCAATTCGATCCATTATCTAATAGGAGGGTGTCATATTCTGTTTCATAATTATATTAAATAAGCGTATATGTGTGGTTATTTGAAATTAAATAAAATCTTTTTTTATTATTCATGGGTATTTCAAGAGATAGCAGACACAAAAGAAGACTCACAGGTGGTCGTATGCCAATCCATAAGAAGAAGAGAGCTTTCGAGAAAGGAAGACAAGCTGCTATGACTAAATTGGTATCTGGCGAAAAGAGAGTTAGAAGATTGAGAGTCCGAGGAGGAAACTTCAAATTCAGAGCTCTTCGTTTATCCGATGGAAACTTCTCTTGGGCTAGTGAAGGTGTTGCAAAAAAAGCAAAGATTGTCGAAGTTGTTTATCATCCATCAAATAATGAATTAGTCAGAACCAAAACACTCACCAGAGGTGTCATTGTGTAAGTCGATGCTACACCATTCAAACAATTTTATTTAAAGAAATACAACATCGATTTGGGAGCCAAAAAGACTCAAAAGAAGGTAAAATTGTTTAATTACTCTCCTAGGACTAACCAGCACCTTAAGAAGTCAAGAAATCAAACTCATTAAAAAAGAAACTAGAAGCCAGATTGAAGGACAGAGTTATTGATAATTTAGTTGCTGAATAATTCTAAAATCAAAGACTTCTAGTCAGAATCACATCAAGACCAGGACAATCTGGCAGAGCCGATGGTTACATTCTTGAAGGAAAGGAACTAGAATTTTATGTTAAGAAGGTCGAATAAAAGAAAAAATGAGTTTTTCTCTATTCATAGTACATTAGTAATAGATTTATCAAGTAATATTAATTCAATTATCTCCATCACAGTTATGCTTCAGTTCTGATTACATTACTATAAGGGATAGCTGATTATTTCCTACTTTTTGATCATGGACTCTTTTCTTTGTCTTCTCGCAGAAACTATACCTTATACAGTTGCAAATATACTATATGCTTCATGAGCTCCTGGAATGTTACGTTTTTTAATTTAATATTTTAGAAATAGTAATTTTAGTAGTATAATTACCTTTTCGATTATTAGATAATGTTTCGAAATTAATTCAATAAAATCTAAGTTTGCTCAGTTACTACATTTGATATTAATTTATTTTAACTCATTTGAATGCACAATTTTCAATCTATTAGCAATGCCATCAAAAAGTTTAATGTTTACACCAGACCAGTCAGTTTATTATTATTAAAGGAATAAGGTCATAGAACATATTTGGGAGTTTTTCTAACATCAATATTAGTGAGTTTAGTAGTTCTGGTTTATTATAGTGGTCTAGTATCACTTATTGTTAGAAATAACCCAAGTGCTATTAGTTACACTACCTACTCTGAAGATTAGAAACCATTTTATTTGGCTCCTTAAAATTTTAGCATAGCTATAGCTCAAAAAGGCAATGATCTTTTGACTTCATACATCCTAGAAGGATCAATAGGTTAAATAGATGGGTAACATTCCTTTACATTTTTAATAGTTTGACCATCCAAGAAATCCCCATGTCTAAATGTATTGATTTTTAATTTGATGATCCAACCCTCAATGCATATTTTGATAAGAGCGATTAGATTTGGTATTGTATTGATTGGAAATCTCTCAACTCAATTGTTTTGGAAGGAGGTTTAGAATCCTCAAAAGATAAATCATTATAAATCAAAGTCAAATAGTGCACGTCTGCGTAAAATATAAAATTTATTAGAAGTACCTAATGCATAGCTCCTAATATCATGGATAGTGATTAGTTCCTATTGAAAATGACATCAGCAAACACTGAAATTTCTAATTTCAAAAAGCCTGTGAATTTAATCGGAAAGTCCTTTGCCATCACATCAATGTTAAACTTTACGAAGAAACTCAATATTATATTGTAACCACAATTAACATAAACTGATAATGGCTATATTGTGTAAGATTAATATGAAGAAACTATGTTGTCCATCTCAAACTACTATGAAACAATTTAAGATAAAAGTTCAGATTAATAAATTTTCCAAATCAATATATCTTTAGATCAAAAAACATACATAACATAGAGGTCATACCCTAGAGTATATTAGTATTTGGGAGACATTGGTGGATTTTGGGAGATCATATATTTGTGTAGTTTATTATTCATAATGCCCTTCAACAATTTATCCTATCGAGTGTCTTTGTTGAATGAATTGTTCAACTTTGAAATGGATTATGATAATAAAGTACACCCAGACAATAAGGGTAAAGCAAAAGTGAGAGAAATCTTGAATAAGTCAGTTTAATTAGAGAAGTTTAATAGAATGTCAAAAGTAGCTGAACATGATGTAAACTAAAAATCAAAATTGTTGGATCAAATTTCTAGTGACATCACTGAATTTTTTAAAGAACAAGAAAGTCGTCTTGATCTCCAATTCTTTGATTATTTTGGATGCTGTTAATGTAAAAAAGGAGGGAAGAGAGAGCTCATAAATTTTTCAATGGGAAAAATCACACACACTTTAGATATCACTTATATAATAAAGAAATTATAGGAAATAGATAAATTGAAATTAATATTGTTGAGCTCAGATCAAATAAAGTTATTTGATTATCTACCTAAACCAAAATTAGGATTGCATATGAAGGCAAGTGAAAATGAATATTGTTCAATATTGAAACCTGAGTAATCAGATTTAGATAAGGCTTTAGAGGCTTAGAAAGCATTTTAGTAATTGTAGGATTAGGATGATGAAATAACACCTAAATTAGTGAAGTTGCTAGATGAGGATCTTGTTGCCTTATTCAAATTGCAATTAAATAAGGGGGTCAATAGATCTTTAAAGAAAACGGGCTAATTGGCTGAGGCCGTGTAATAGTTAATGATAATGAATGCAAAGGAGAAGGAAATGGAGAAGACTAATAAAAAGAAGAAGAAGAAGAATAAGGAATCTAGTAATTCAGAGAATTCTGAATCCTCAGGTTCTGAAAATTGAATTATTAATAAAAATAATCAAATGACTGAATTTAAGTAAGATTTGAATGATTCTTAACTTTGCATTAGCTTCTTGAAATTTTCTTTAACTTACTAGGACTTTTTCTCTAGATTCAACTTTTGTTCTAGGCTGGAATTGTTTTAGCGTATATTCTTGTACTCTTCTAATAAGCTTGGGTATTATGGGTATAGATGTGAATTTTCGGATATTAAATTCATACATTTATTAATTAATCTAAAAATTTATTCATTTGTCTTTTATTAATGTTTTTTTTATTTTGTAATAAGTTGCTTAAGTGTTTTTATTGATATAGTTTTATTATTCTTCTGCTGCGAGACTGCAGTGAATTCTGAAGTTTGTATAGTTGAACAAGATGTGGAATAGCAATTCTGGATGCCACTCCATCCAGAATCAGTATGAAATTTCTATTTGTGCTTACTTGTACAAATTTAACTTACTGATTTGGTTTTTGATTGTCTATGCATTTTCACATATTCAATGAGATTCCGAGTTTGCTGGTTTCGATGGATTCGAGCATCGATCTGACTTGATTTAAGAGAAGTTGAATATTTTTTAAGAAATTCCAATTTAGAACTAACGAATTCTCGACTTACCACAGACAATTCCTAAACCATAGTTTCAATAGTAGGGACCAAAATTAGGAATTCCTCATCAAGAGCACCACATTAACTTAATATTGATTGCATTTTTATTTAACGAACAAATAATTATCAAAGTATGAAACTCGCGATTGCGTCATTATTATAATAATGAAATTTTTAGGATTAGCCCTCCTTTTGGCAATAACCCTTTGTTAAAACAGATTATCGGTAGACGTTTATACCGAATCCTTATGTCCCGATTGCATGGAGTTTCTGTTGAATTCCCTGACAGAGGCAGTCGATACTCCCGACATCGAAGAAATGGTGCATATTAGAGTAGTACCATACGGAAATGTCAAAAGAGTATACAATTAAGCAACTGGAAAATGGCAATTCACATGCCAACACGGAGCTGTGGAATGCTATGGAAACTATGTCCAATTGTGTGGGTAGAACATATTGGCTACAAAATATCCTAATGACAACGAGATCCTCCAAGTCCAATGGGCCATCTGTATTGACAGGAGAATTTTCAAGCCTTACACCAACACCCGTTTCGATGAGGCAGCAAGTCTTTGCGCAGCCGATTTTGGAATCTCAGGAACTGCCGTAAAAGAATGCGCTAATGTATATACAATTTAAACTTTCAAGGGTGATCAAGGTTACAAATTGCATCTAGCAGCAGCTGAAGAAACAGACGGTCTTTCACCAGCTCATAATTATGTTCCTTGGATTACAACTAACAAGAAACACAGTGTGACAGATGAAGACCTTATTTTGGAAGACCTAGTTGCATGGGCTTGCACAAATTATTAAGGACCAAAAATTGAAGCTTGCACCACCAGAAGTGCTTGATTAATATAAATAACAAATTAGTCATATGATGAAATTGTAGTCTGGTTTTTTTACTTTGTGTTTAGACCTAATTGATCGATTTATATATTACAAGAGATTATTGAAACATTCCTTCAATTCATTGGTAGTGTAGGGTAGAATTTCATACATTTTTGGAGTATATTCTTTGACTTGAAAGACACAGGGCTTCAGCACAAGGCCTTGGTTCTACTGTTAGACCAATTCTGGTAATTTCATTCTCGAAGGAGTAATATAGGATCTCGATATTTCTGTTAAAGATCTCTTAGACTTATCTGATTTTGCTATTATGGCCTTTCTTGAATTAGGTTCGATTGAGTTGTAGTTAATATCGTAATCAGGCAATGTGGGCAATTACTTGGCTTTGATTTTCTCCTGAGATGAGCCAAAGGCTATGTTGGATCTCAACTTTTTTTTTTTTTTCTTTTGCAACCATTGACGACTGTAATCTAAGGGTTATCTCATTACAAATGAATTAAACCTAAGCTAAACATTACTGAGTTATGAGGTTTGCATAAATTATATAATATAAGTATTTATTCATTTCTTCTTCTTCCCCTTCTTAGTGGCTTTCTTGGGTTTCAACTTTTCATCATTCTTATTGCCCTATTCCAGTTACTTATCATTCTCTGCCTTCTCCTCCTTTTCATTGATCACTTGCTGCTATTGCTAGATCTACTGCTCCTTCTCCGCCTAATTGTTCTACTCAAATTATTGCTTCTATAGCTTCATCAACTCTTCTCTCAACTATGCAGTCTGCTTCTCAATCTCCTCTCCCTTAGCCTTCTTCTCTGCAATTGCATCTTCCAATTTAAATTATTCATCCTTAAATTTCTACTCCTGTGTATCCAGTTCCTTTTATAGCCTTTCAAACTCCTACTCCAATTCCTTCCTTTTCTGATATACAACTTAATAGTCATTCCTCTAAGCATCTAGTTCCTGCTATTTCAATTACTTTGATCTCTCAAAGTCAGCCTATTTATCCTCGATTATCTTCTTCTTCTTCTCTATTTAATTCAACAAATCAGTGATTCTTTCTTGCAATCCTGCTCTTTTGCTTTGCTCTTATTGTTTAATTCTCTCCATCTCAACTATCACCTATGATTTCTTGTCCTCAATCTATAGAATTTCCTTCTCCTATTATGACAACTTATCCTTTGCTATTTAAATCTTCTTCTATTCGTATTTCAATCTATATATTTCAGTCCTAATCTTGCTTGGCTCCTTTTCTTCTAATATCTTTTGATTTCTCTGCAATATCTTCTGAATCCTATTTAAACAACATAATGATAATCTATTGCCTGTTACTTACAAATCTATTATGACTTAATTCTTCTCTATGATCTCCAAAATCAGCTTCTCCACTTTCTCACTTATATAATTGTCATTAGCCTTCAAATGAGTAAAATTGGTCGATTCCCCTATGAAGGTTAAAAATGTCATGAACTAATTTATCCATTTTAATTACATACCCCTTAATCTGCCACTCTACTTGATGATACATCCAACTTCTCCATTATCCTATTGTTACACAACATGATCATTGACTCATCTCCCAACAAATTCTTTGATAAATTTAAGACTTTAATCTGACTATTAGGCAATACATCAGCCAAATATCGTATTCCATCAGGTGTAATATCATTCAAAGAGATATCTAATTCAGATAATGATTCACTCTCATAAATTGCAGCTGATAACACTTACAGTCCCTCATCTCTAATTTAGTTTCCTCTTAAATTTAATGAAATCAATCCAGATTGTTGTTAAATTATCCCATTTGCCAAGTATTCGACTCCTTTTGGACCTAAATCATTAAATTCTAAATTTAATCTCTTCAATGTCCTATTATTCATCAAATACTCCTGAAACTTAATCGTTGGACGAAGATTGTTCTTAGACAAATCCAAAGATTCTAAATTCTACCCATTTAATAATATAGTTTCTATCCCTGCTATTTTCAAATCATTTTCTGCTATCTTTAAATGCTTTATGCTCTAATTGGTTTTCAGTGCTTAACCAATAAATTCTCCACCAGCAGTTGTAATTACATTATCTTACAACCTTAAAGTTTCAATCTTTTTATTAGACAATAACAATTGGGCTATATGCTTTGCTCCTTCAAAGCCAAGAGCATTTTTTCGTATGCTGCCATCCAACACTCCCAAATCCAAAGCTTTTAATGTTTGATTCTTGCAGAGGTCATCTATAATCTATCCCAATCCTATATGGCTTATCATATTGGAAGCTAAATTGAGATTCTTGATCTGGGAGTTAGCTAATAATGTTTTGATTGCATGAACTGCATAATCTCCTAATGTATTGTCTGCTAGATTTATAGTTGTTTAGATGGGCTTTTAATTTGCTAAGGCTATCAAAGTTGTAACTCCCAGTCTCATCGAATATAAATTCAATACATCAGGGAACTTTTTTGAATTGATCTTATTAAATTCCTCTTTGAAGATTTTTGCCTAAATATTATTTAGTCATACTCTTTCAATGGATACAGTTTCACCCGTGTCGTGACATCTGGCATTAAAAAGTTCAGCTTATAACTCATCCAAAACTAGAAATGCTGGGTTTTTCTAAAATATCTGTGGTAAATTGGATGGATCTCCACCATATGCTATCAACTTTTATTGTTTTAAGAATTCAATCTCTTTGGTGTATTCGTTTGTTGCCAATTTGGGCTTGGCTGTTTAAGGTCTCATTAATTATTAATTATAATACTCATTTTTATAATTCTTTAAGTGTGAATATTACTAATTTCAAGCAATCTTCTAGTAGTTTCTCAAAAGCATCGAATTAATTCTTATTGGTTCTGACATTCAAATACAATTCCATCACTTCTGCAACCTTTTTCGCTAATCTCTCCAATTGGCTCACGCTCCGATCATCTTGATAGAGTTCCTAATTCTTGATAATCTTATTGATCAGCTCTTAGACTTCATTCTACTATAAATAAACTAAAGAACTCTTCGTTTTATATTACAAATTCAAATACAAAATTACTAAATAAGTTTATCTCTATTCATATATTATAAAATACATTTAATCTAATTGGATTATCTTAATTTATAACTACTCTTTTATATTTTCCAACTCTCCTGATTCACATTTTAACCACTTTGTTTCATAGAATTTCCTCATTTTCTCCAAATAACGTTGTTAATGTATCAATGAATAGTCAAAATTAGCAATTTATTCAAAAAACGATTATGGATTTTCTAAGAATTACACAACAATTTTATTATTAGGTACTTATTTCTTGATATCATTGATATAGATTTGAAATTTTTACCTTCTCAATTTCAATAACTAAGTGTTTTCTTAAAGAAAGCTTATTAAATAGTTGATCCCAAGCTCTTTCTGAGGCAAGGGTCTTTATAGAATTTCAGGTTATGTCTTAAACAAATACTCAGCCAATAACTCGAACTCCCCATATCTTCTATTAACTACGATGTTTCCTGACTTTATTGGGTAATAGTAATGGTTATTCATGTAGATAGGGTCATCAACTAGTATAGTTTGGGTGATTTCTTGTTGTTAATCTGATAATAGATTAAGTGAATCCTTATTTTTAGGGTTATCTATGAGAATGTTTTTCATGTTTGCATTAATCATGGCTTCAATATGTTAAGCTATGAATTAATTTAAATTGATTACAATCCATATTCATTTACATCTTACGATCTAAAATATTTATTTTAAATAATTATAACGAATTTCACTCTAGGTATTATTGGAGTTGTCGCTCTGAAATGCGTATCTTCTCCAATGATTAGGTATGAAATAGAGGACTTTGTAGATCATAATATATATTAATAAATGATGTAATTTTGATATTAATAACCATTGTAAATCACCAGTCCATTTATTAAGTGTCTTCTACTTTAGTTTAGAATTGGTTCTTTTTAGTAGACATCTTCTCCCGCTCCCTGCTGTTGCTTCTTTCTCTCCTGGGGTTGTTTAACTTGGGGCAGTTCTTTTTGATATGGCCGTTTTAACCACAATTATGACATCCCACTAGTGATAGAAATATAATTTACTTTTAGAGTCTCCTCCTCCACTTCTGCCTTTGTCTCTCATTTGTCTACAATCATTTGCATTATGACCACGCTTATTACATTTGGAACATACGACATTGTCTATAAAGTAATTAGGAATATACTTACAAGAAGATTCTTCATGTTTTACTCTTTCCTCCTTGGTTTTTTCTTTCTTAACCTCCCATTATGAATTATATTGATTCAATCTATCATTGGGTTCAGGAATAGGTGGTTTGGTTCTTCTAACATAATCCTTATACTCTTGGGTTCTAAAGTTCTTCTTAAACCATAGGGTTAAATCCTTAAGATTATTCTGCATAACAGAGTGGAAACTAAGGCCTTCTGGTTTGACTTTGATGTACTCCTTCTCCACCTTATTCTTTTGTTTCATGTACATCAAGACGATGTATTGGGGGGCCTTGTCAGTAACACAAAAACCATAAGGGATGATTTCTTCATCTTTTTCCTTGTCCTCTCTCAACTTCCTTTCCAATTATTCCATTGAGCCATGATGGAATTTCTTATTGTTGACGACAGCTTCCATATGAGAATTGCATGGAGTAATGTAGCTTTCATAGATTTCATCAAAAGATTCGTAATTTTTGCCATTCAAAACAAGTTGAGGCTTGTAACTCTGAGCAGTCTTTAATTCTTAAACGTAGAGATGAGAAATAACTCCTTCATAGAACTTCCATGTGATCGTCAAGTGATCCTTAAGTCTTTGATTAGGTCTGATGATATATTCTCCGACAGGCTAGCTTTCAATGTATTCAAGAGCTCCTTTGAGGAGTACTTACTTGAACTTAGGATGGTTGATGTTTCTAAGAATCAACTTCTACTGTTGTTTTTATTTGTTGGGCATCTAATCTTAAGGAATAGTGGGCTAATCAAACTCTTTGAATTTGCTCTAATCAAAGGTTTGCAAGACCTTATTGCAGTAATCGTCATAGCAGATATTGGAATATGGCCATGGGTCATACTTGGGTGGCTTCAAATACTCTTAATCCCATCGTTACCAATCAGGTTTCAATGACAACTCAATTATAAGGATGTTCAGACTATCGTTCTTAATATTGTATTCTGTGGCTGGTATCCTCTTCACATAGGTCTTAATGATTTATCCGATGCCGAACTCCTGTTAAAGCATATCATCTCTGCGTAGAGTGCCACAGAGACCATTATCTGATAATTTTATGAGTAATTTTTCGGACTCCTTGCTCTTTTCTTTGCCTTCAATTTTCTTGGTTATTTATCCTTGGACAATGCTGTTCTTACGGAAAGTGTAAGGGGACTCTTGAGTGATGGCATAGAAGATCTCTGAGTTACTCATTTCCTTATTGGCAGCATCAAATTTATAAAGGAAAGGATTTGTCAATTCCTCTTTCATGAATTGAGCTACTAAAGTGAACTTCTCACTTCCATCCTTCTGTTCTCTTTGTTTTGCCCAGTCTTCCAATTGGAGTTCTTCCATCTTCTGAGGTTGACTCATCAATTGTCTCACAATGGTATTCTATCTATCCTCTCTGCCTCCAACTTCCAAAGCACATTTGGCTATGTGAACAGCATCAGAATACATTTTGATCTGCAATCTGGTTATGTCCAATGGTTAAATACCTCTCTGGATTTTGATGAATCCCTATACATTTTTGAATACGACCTTCTTCAAGATCTAAGTTTTGAGGATGTCCTATCTCTAGATTTGGATGTACTCTTTTTGATCTTACTCCAATTTGGAATAGATGAGTCTCTCATCTTCGTAATTGTTATTGAAGAGACTCTTACTCAATAGACCTTTAACCATTGTTAACAGATGTTTGGCTTGTCTCCTTCCTAAGCCATTGATGAATTGCATTTGATCTGCAAAGTGCTTATGTAGAGTACAATCAACCAAATCAACTCCAACCTGATTGACTATTTCAGTGGCAGTCTGTTTTAAAGCATCAAGCAAGACTTGCTGACTGACCATGGCTTGTAGAGGATGTAAATTGAGATGCAAACAACCATTCTTATCAATGGCATCACTCCATAGATTCAAGACTTCGGCCATTGGATTAAGTTTGTATCTGGCCAAGGATATTGCCTCTTTCAAGATTTGAGGAATGTCTGGCAATTATAAATTACTCTTTTCACTCATACTGTAGATCCTTGAGATTTGTGAATCTGCCAAAGTAATCCAAGGGGAAGTTGTCTACTGGTATTTCTTACGCAAATCAGCTCTTAATTTCAAGCAATCAGAGTGATTTGCTGAGATGACAACAAGATCTGGTTTGTACTTCTCAAAGAAATTGTCCAGGAGAGCTTATTCTTTTCTGATTTATTCCAGCATTTCAGTTCTCCTTTCATCTTGGGTCAAATAATTGAAGATTTGGAGAGTTTGTTACTCACCCTTATAATCGATGACTGACATTCCAATGTATTTCTTTTGGATGGAGCAATCCTGAGAATAAGCTTTGAGCACTTTGCTGTCTGTTTGTTCTGATCCAATAACCAGAGACATGATTTTGACATCTGGATTGGTGGTCTATTACATTTATTGATTGTTGCCAATTTCACTAATGTGAGGTTATTTGTTAATGAGTTATTTAAATTTTTGTTAGCACATCTTCACAATATGTTTGGATGAGATAGTTTACAATTTGTATTTGATTTGTCTTTCCAAAATGGGATACCATATTTCCTGCAAGATACCTCTGAGAATGAGATCTCTGAGTCTCAAGATGCTTTCTTGTTCCTTCTATTGATCGTCAATCTTGACAAATTTATCATACAATAAGACCATAATATCGTCTTTTGGGATTTTTTCTTTTTTGTGATCTTTGTCTTTGGAAATTGTAAAATTAATTTTGATGTATCCCAATTGTTCCGCTCTGAGACACTGCATCCAAGTCTGATCTTCCATGTATTTGTATTGTCTATGTCTGATTCTCTTGACTGGGTAGAAGTAACTCACAGCCGTGATCTCCCTGTTACCCAGTTGAGTAGGCTCAGTTGAGATGAGCAGATGATCCCTATAAATCTGACTTATGAAATTCCTGATGAAGGGATGGTGATAGAGTTCCATCATCAGATACTTTTGTAATAACTTGATATAGTCAGAACTGGAATCTTGCGATTTGGATTCTGCGGTCTCTGTTTGATAACTCAATAACTCATCCCAATCCTAAATGATCTTCCTCTCCATTTACACACTCTTCCCTTACAATTTATTGAAGAATTCATCAGAAGTGTAACAGAAATTTAAGGCTGCCTCGTCCACTCTCTATTTAATATACTCCAACATGGCCTTCTCCTTTGTGTGAGGCTTCTTTCTGGCATTCAAACTCAGATTCTACAACTCCTTCATAATCAAGTCGCTCTTAGAATTGATCTAATCTTATTCCTACTCCATGGTCTGACCCAACAATTGCTTCTCCTAGTTCTCTCTCTGCAACTCCTATTCCAAAAACACAATCCTCTTGCAATTGTGTTTCAATATTATATAATCAATGTAATCTTTCAAATTCTACAGCTCCTCGATTTCCTTAGCCTACTGTAGATACAAGTTGGCTGTGTTCTTCTGTGTCTAGTAATTCTCAGGAATAGAGTCAATTAACTTCTATATCCTGTTCTTAAAATTACTGAAGTGTTCCCACTCATAATCGAGTTCCCGGATTTTCCAATAGTGTTCCAATTGCAAAGCTGAGTTTATGAGGTGACGTTTGTAAGTGTAGATGTACATTATATCGAGGTTCTCCTTCCTGTAGAACTCCAAAATGTGTTTGATTCCAACCAAAACTTCAGATATATTTTTTAAATCGAACTGAGACACCATCTTCTCTCCAATCCATTTCAATTGTTATTCGGAGGCCTCCTCTCTTGTGTTTTGCAATATCTGCCCATTTGTCATCTTCATGTAAGTGATTTGGACCGATTCAGGCACATCCTATTTAATTATCTCTTCATCATTTTGGTTCAAGAGTGCTCCTTCCCTTTGACTTGGATCGAACAATTTGTTTATTAGCTCATTTTATTCGTTCTCGTCTATCGGCTCCTGTGACAATTGCTCCTAAAACTGATCTGCAGGAGCATCTTCCTATTCTACTTCATCATCATCCCTCTCTATTTTCTACAGTCTCCTCTGATGTGTCGATTTCTTGTTGTCTTCTATCAATTCCATGTCGTCGTCTGACAACTCGGCGTCATACGACTCGTCCTAACTTTAAACATAAACCTATCTATTACTCCTCCTATGCCTCTTCCTCGATATCCTCATCCGAGTCCACCACAAAATCATCCTTCTGATAATCGTTTCCTCCTTCCTCTTCCGATGACTCCACCTTCTACTTGCCTTTTCCCATAATTTAATAAAATTAATGCTTTTAAAAATTGCAGCTTCATTTTATATTACTAAAATTTTACAGCCATATTAATAAATTTTATTATGCAAAACGAAAGGCTGTAACGTCTCCTCAGATCCAAAGGCAGCTCCTACATCACCCAAAATCCACCAGCCAGCTCCCCCTTCACCAGACCGTCCCAAAATTCCACCTTACAACCCAACAAATATCTAACCAACTACGCAGTCTAAAAGTTATAAAATTAATCTACTCATATTACTATGTATTTAATTTTTACACTCTAGAACACCCTCCACAGAAAGAAGAATCATACCCACTCCATCCAGACCTCCCATTGCCATTTTGCCACATCAATCCTCCTCAGTCTCCCCCATTCGGGTTGTTCAATTGTCAACTGAAAGAGTCCAACAACCCCAAGAAATCCATGAAGTCCATCACTTTGAAAGACCCATCCAAGTTGTTGCAGTCGAAGAAATGGAATACAAATACAAATTCAAAATTCAACAATTAGAATAGATGGTCTATTAATTATAGGTCGAAAATCAAAGAATCAAAATCAACGGAGCCTACCTGGAGTAATCAATACCCATTGACAACACCAACAAAATTGTTGAATTGGAGAGAATCAACCACAATCTAAGACTCTCAGATGATAAATTGAAGGTAGAATTGAAATAAATCAAAGAAGAATTGTCAATCTGGAAAGACAGGTATGGTTAACTGCAAAAATAATCATCAAATCAAAATGGATTCAATGAAGAGTTGCGTCAATTGAAGAAATAAATAATGTAATTGGAAGAAGACAATAGTGATTTGTAATTACATCTAAGAGACAAAGACCAAGAAATCTTGAAGCTAAGAACCATCTTAAATGAAAAGGATGATATCATAGATCAACTCAATGATTAAATCCAAGAGCTCCAGATAATTCAAGAAAATTACAGTCGCGTTGAAACCACACTAATATCTCTGCAAGGTGAAGTTGATGTTTGGAGGAAGAAGTTCAAAGAAAAAAACGAGGAAGCTTCAGAGTTGAGTGAAAAACTAATCATGGCTGAAACCTCTCTAGAAGCTATGAAGAAGAGATAAGTTGTACAAGTCAAAGAAGTTAATGTTACTAAGACTAATAACAATAAAATTGGCAATTCTTTGGCATAATCTATCGAAGCGCCAGGAAGATTTTCGACAAATCGTGGATCTCATTATTCAAATAAACAATAAACTTGATTTACTTCTATTTTATGTTATCTACTTGTGTACATTATTATGTATAAATTTAATTGGTTAGTAATACAAAAACAAAGAGAAATATTATAATTAATTATATGAAATTACCTAGTATTAATAAACCTACCTCAGCACAATCAGCAAATCGACAATTACCACCAAGGTAGAGTAATAATGCAATAAGCAATTTAGAAAAGAATCTATTTAATAAACTTAATGAATATGATGATTTAAACAAGATTGATACTAAGAAGAAGTAGGTTGTTGAGGTTAAGTCTCATAAGAAAGTAGAGAATTCTTATGATGAGATGGACTCATTTGCAAGGAGACAAACAGCTCTGAAAAATTATAGTCAGACAGAGAAGATCAAAGATTTGAAATCATCTCAATAGAAACAACCATTATAATAAGACACTGTCTTTCTCACTCATAATCAGCAAGCAAAATCAGAGGAGTCGAACAATGAGTAGGAGGATAGCAATAGCGACAGCAGCGTTGAGGATTTGTTGCAGAGGAGCAGAGCATTGGATAAGTAGAAGAAGGTGATGTTGAATTACGAGGATGATAGCGAAGTTGGTTAGTTGAATAGGATGATGTTTTAGAGTAAGATATGAAACATGTATGATGATAGCCGACATTGATTTGGATGAGTAGTTTTAGAGCATGTGCATTTTGAGAAGAACCATTTCGCAGATGCAAGACTCGATGAAGTCTTTGGGGTATGGGATTAATGAGAAGTTGATGGATGAATTGAATTAATAATATGAGGAAATGATTAAGCTGCAAAGGGAATCCTAAGTAGCTAAGTGAATTAATTAGGCAATCGAAGAGTATTAAATGAAAGAGAGCAACTCAAAAAATAAAATGCCTGCTTTGCGTTCAAACAGTGTTAATTAAACAAAAAAATAGAAAAAATGACATAGATTTAAATATGATCATATATGATATCACTATTACATTTTATTTATTAATAAAAATGTAAAATCCAAATATTCCACAATATGAGTTTGATATTACAATTTATAAGGATTATCTGAAGAATAAGATTATTGCATTGTTTGAGACCATGCCTGGCAATAAATAGCTAATTTTGAGTTAGAGAGTCTTGCAATTACTTAAATTGAGCATAGAAAATAAATTGCTATAAGAGAGTGGGATCAAGAAGACCTTGACAATAGAGAATATAACTTAAATAGAGAATGACATCACTCAGATCTTTATCATCATCCCCCCTAAATTGGATGTAACAAGGAAGATTGCAAAAATGATCAAAGCAGCCAATGGTCCAAACAACACTTACAAATTGGTCTTTTGGCCTTCAAGGACAATCCTGGCCAAGGAATTATTGGACTAAGAGGGGGTTTTGAGTAGTGTGGAAATTAAGGATTTTTCTTTTGATCTCATTCCACTTGATTTGGATGTATTGAGTTTGGAAATGCCAGATGCCTTCAGAGACATGATGATAGATTAAGATTTATCAATTTATAATTACGTTGCGGATAGTATCAATAGAATACAGATCGTGATGGGCAACATTCCCAACATATATTGTAAGGGTGATGGAGCCAAGATGGTTTATGATATTATAAAAGTGGAGAACTCATAATCTGATCAAAACCAAGACTCCTAAGAGGTAGAGTCGCTGATTATATATGACAGAAGCATCGACTTGGTTACTCCAATGTTGACCCAATTGGTGTATGAAGGATTGATAGACGAATAGTTCGGTATCAACGGGAACTTGGTCAGTCTACAAAAGAAGGTCTTTGGAAAGGAAGGTCAAGAGGGAGAGGAATACCAAATATTGCAATTGAATTCGGAGAAAGACCCTTTGATGTACAAAGTAAGAGGATTGCAAGTGGCATCCTTAGCCAAGTATTTGTATGAGCAAGCAAAACAACAGGAAGCAGAGAAGACTGAATTTCAGAAGGAAAAGCAAACCTAATTGAATGAGAGGATTGTGTAATAAGCAAAGAAAATCAAATTGGAATAGGAGTCAAATTCAAGACGTAATATATTATAATTTAGCGTTAGATCTCAATATCAGTGGAAAGATTGCAGAGAATATTAAAACAATCTCGTTCTACAAGTTGTTGAGTTTGGAATAAGGAATAATTAATGGAGATAAATCGGAGAGAACTTTGGATTACATCGAAGCAATGATTCAATTAGAAATGGACTTAAACAAGGTTGTAAGGTTGTTAGCCTTGAGATCCTTAGTCGATGGAGGATTGAAACAAAAGCCCTTCGATTATATGAGGAGAGAGATTGTTCATGTGTATGGATTCAAGACCATCGCTTTCTTGAACAATTTATCGAAGGCAGGCATGGTCTATAAGTCTGATGCCAAACAACTATTCTTTAAATTACAGGAGTAATTTAAGTTACTGAATGTGGACATCAGATCCGATGACACAGACCCAAAAGACCCCGCCTACACTTATAGTGGTCATTGTCCTTTGATGTACTCTTTAAGTCTCATAATTTAGGGCTCGTCTGACTGAAAAGGTATTTGATAAGGGATCGTGGAAACCTTTCAAAACTCAAATGCAACTGATTAATGGTTTTCAATTAGAACCAGAAAGACCTATCAAATTGAATATTCCTGGCAAAAAGCCTATTGTAATAGTGTACATACTTGGTGGAGTTACTTACGGGGAGATTGCATCGTTGCGTCTCTTGGGAAAACAATTTAACAAGGAAGTTATCATTTGTACGACTAACATGACTAACGGTACAAAGCTTATTTCATCGTTGAGAGAGAGAATTTGACAATTATATAAATACATAGACAAGCTGTTATTTAATATAATTATTTTATTTATTTATTAATGTAAACAGAATAATTTTTTTTTGATTCTTCAAATACCAATGATAAGAATCAGTGGGTTAAGCTAGACTCTATCAAGAGACCCATCTCCACTATCAGATTATTTGAAGGGACACTATTCATGAAAAGCAAGAAACAAGATGTTTTTAAGCCTAAATTTTTTAAGTTGTTTTCTGACAGACTGAACATCTATAAAGTATGATAGAAATTAATCTTTAGAATGGGAGGGAGCAAAAGGAAATTGCTGCCTTATTCTTAACAAACGTGTATTTGGACTTAAAATTCCTGGGTGAATAGGAGAAGGATAAATTTCCTATAATCTTATTAAACGGAAATCGAAAGTTGGTGTTGAATGCTCGGTCTTAAGAAAGCCAAACCAAATGGATTGAATAATTCAAGAAAACCTGCATTCTGAACAATTATAGGGGTGTCTACACTAACATTAAAGTGTTGGGCAAGGGCACATTTGCAAAGGTAATATAATGCATAAATAAGGTTTTATTAGCTGAAAAAATAGGAAATAAATCCAAATTTGCAGTTAAGACCTTCCAGAAATTGGCATTGATGGACAAAACTAATACTCAACGGGTATTTCTAATGAAAATAGTTTTTAGTAAGGATTATTAAATGAGATAAATTTGTTGAGATCATGCGATCATCCGAATATCATCAAACTGTATGAGATCTATGAAAGTGGCGATTATATTTATTTAGTTATGGAGTTGCTGGAGGGAGGTGAATTATTTGATTTAATACTTGAGACTCCCTAATTTATTGAGTCTAAAATAGCATTAATCATGTTCAAAATATTTGATGCCTTGGAGTATCTTCATACGAAGGTATTATTACTACTAACCAATCAAGAATATTATGCATAGAGATATAAAGCCAGAGAATATATTATTAAATGATAAATCAGACAATTTCGAGCTGAAAATAGCTGACTTTGGTTTAGCATCCTACACTGAAAGTGAATTGCAAATCAAAAGATGTGGCACTCCAGGCTATGTAGCACCAGAAATCCTTTAAGATTAAAAATATAATGAAAAAGTGGATGTTTTCAGTGCTGGAATTATACTCTATATATTGTAAAATACTTTTAAAATGATAGACTAACTGGCTAAGCCCCATTTTATGGCAACAGTTTGGACGATGTGATAGAGAAGAACAGAGCTTGTCAAATCAATTTCAAAGACTTAAAAGTATCTCAAGATGCCTTAGATTTACTCTACAAAACTTTGGAACCAAATCCCAATAATAGAATTTCATCTTTGGAAGCCCTCTCTCATCCCTTTATCTCTAGATTATATAAAAGATAAATTACTAGTATGGATGATATCCCCTTGGATGATTTACCCAGTGACAACTACAGTGCTTTTGAAAACATGAAGAAATTTTGTCAGAACAATCTGAGATTCAAAGTGTCCAAACTTAAAAAAAATGAATTGCTCCAATAGACTCCTTTCATGGGAACCAGAGAATATGACCCAATTAAAGCATCCTTTGATAGTTGGCTCTATGAAAAAACAAATGAAATGGAATCCAAATAAACTATACGGACTCCCTAAATTCAATAACAAGAATCCTCAGGCTCCGAATTTTCAATTCTAAGTACTCCTGAATCAAGAAAGGATACCCAAAAGTTTATTCAACTCAACCCTTTGCAATAAATAGCTTGTAAACACTCACCTAATTAATCGATATATTCACCTAATAATTAATAAAAAGAGTAAATTCAAATGAATTTCAAGAAAGCCAACCAAGTTAGAGATTAATTAAAAAAAATAAGTTTTTGATTAATTTAAAATTTGTTTTATTTTGCTAACCTATAATTGTTATAAATTAAGATTTATTTCGATTGTCATCATTAACTTATAACATAGAACAATTTAAATCAGATTGATCTAACCCATTTATGTTCTCCCCCACCAGTCTAAAATTAATACTCTTACTATACCTAAATATTTGTTAGAATATCAAACAGTTCATGTGACAGTTCACCTGCATTCAATTTTTAATCATACTAGACTTCATAGATTTTATCATTATATCCAATTGCCTCTATCGGTTAAATGCTAACAGCTGTCCCAGATCCAAACATTTCAATCATCTAAAATAATTATTCAAATTCTCATACTCTCCCCTCCTCAATTGCTTCAACCACCTCTTAAATATACACTTTCTTCTCTATAACCTTAAACTTTCCCATATTTCTTGTTAGTTCCTTTACATTAATCACATATCATATACCAATATTGAATCCCTTGAAATTCCTGGTAAGATAGTCCCATCTAAAATTGGTGTAACTAATTCTTTTTCTCCTTATTTGTTTTTCCAAAAGAAAAACAAGTTACAAACTCCCATTTCTTACACTAAACCATCTGGCAACATCCATAAATTTTAATGGAATCCAATCTTTTAGACTTCCTTCAATGGCAAAACCGTTGGAGCATAATTACCAGCTACCTTATAACCTCCAACTCCCCCAGGAGCTGATCGAATCTAATAATTAAGCAAGATGTTTTACTGTTGATGTGTTACAGAACACTCTAACAGGCTTTAAACCAGATGGGAAGTAAGGACCAACAGGGCATAATGCAACAAACAATTTTGCTCTACTTGATGCTCTGACTCCCAATGCCTCTTCTGTTGCCATCAATGTTGGTCTAATATAACAACTAAATCCAGGTCTATCTGGAATCCAATCTCTATCCACTTTTAATAATTGTTCAATGCATCTTTCTAATTCTGCACCATCAAAATCTGGCAATGACAATCTCTTAGCAGATTGCTTCATTCTGTACATATTACAGTTCAACCTGAATGTTCTAATTGAATTGTCCGGTCCTTTATACGCCTTAAAAAAATTGATAGATTTATTTACTTTAGCCCCTTCAAAGCACTCAATTGCATAATGTAAACATGCGGAAAATGGATGGATACTGAAACTCTTGAATGGCACAATCTAAGGTCGGCTCCATCTAATCAAAATTTAATTCACTCATCTACCCCATTTTCTCTGACCAATCAATCTCTAATAAGTGATCAGTATGAAATGCTCCGAATGTCATTATTTTAGGATCACAAGGTGGTTTAGTAATATAGTGCATCGTGTGAGTGGTTGTAAGATCTCGAGCCTATCAGAGTGTTTCCCTAATTATTTACTTAAAATGATGGATATGGGCAACTAAGATCTAAGTTAGAATAGTATGAAAATGAAAAGGCTGGTGATCTCCAGAGACTTCTTAGCATCATTTCTATTATATTTTTTATTTCAAATTTTCATTTCATCATAATTTAATACGTAATCTCTAAATAATATGACTCTAAACAAAATTTAATTAATTTTTTCGTCATCTATAATTCTAAGTATCTGGTATTATTTTTATTGGAGATTAAAATATCCACTTTGAATGTAAAATGGCCATTTAATTTCAATAATATTAATTGTTTCAAAGGTATTAGTTCTTTTTTCTTTCTTTTAATGATTGGAATTCTATAAAATTATATGAAATGTTTAACAAAGTTTTAGATGATACTAAATTGTTTAAAGATAAGGATTTTATTTATTCACAATAATTTTAGGACAATTTAAAAAAAGATTTACGATAGATTAATATATTGAGAATGATTGATATATGTAAAATGTTTCATAATCAAATGATTTTTGATTTCTGACATTAGATAAACAGCGATTTAATTCCTTAAAGATAAGCTTTAAATAATTTTGATTAATGAATGATTAGTGAGCATTAATAATAAAAATATATATATTTGAAGAATTTCTTTTATCTGAAAATAATAATAATACTTAAGAATTAATATAAATTTATAATATTACATTAGTGAAAAATTTTTGTTGAAATATATGATAAATACCATCTAAAGATTCAAATAAATTTGAAGAACTTTAAATAATAAAATTTTAATAAAAAAAGATAAAAGTATATGTTTCATTAACTAATGACTTATTCAATAATCTTTGATTAAAATTTATATAAAATACTTAGGAGAGTATGGCACCTATATTCCACCTATTACAATAATATTTATTTGCTCTTTGATCAGAAATATCTGATTCAGTAAGGTAGACTGAATAGATGTGTTTCACACTAACAGCTCGTTACTTTACGTAAGAAATCATATCTTGCTCTTTTTAAGGTTAGAAATCTTGTTAATCAAGATCGAAAGCTAAGATGTAAATAGCAGTTTAGAGAAAGTAAACTAAATAACACTTGTAATAAGAATTTACCATTGATAATTGGAGCATAATTCTAAATAGAAGTATCATGCATAAGAAACTTTACCATATGAACAGAATCTTTCCCTTGTATTCTTTTTATTGCTAAATCAAGACATAGTTTACTAAAAATAATGGAATATTTAATTACTTTTTCAAAGGAGATATCAATTCCTCATTGAAATCCTCATTACTATTTTTACGACTCTACATGCAGAACATAGTAAGAGATTGTTTTATACATTCATTAATATCTCCTAATATCATAATGTGATGAGTAATAACTTCATCACTTGATTTCAAATGAATATCGGGTGGAAGTTCAGATGTATCAATATAATCCGTTTGACTATGACCGTGTTCAAATCCTTCTATTTATTTTGTGGAGTACTCTTTATCATCAATTTATTTCAATCCATTAACCCATTTTAATTTTTTGTCATCATAAAAAAGATTAGTCTAATTCTACCCAATAGTGGCAAGCTGATACTTTTATGATTGCAATACCTATATATACTCTTCTAAATTATCGGAATCAAAAGCACAGCGTCTGCGTCTTGACATAAAAAATTAATAAAAATAAAATCATATATTAAGAGTTAATTCATTAATTCCTTGGAAAAATCAATATTCCTTTAGATCAAAAATTTTCTAAACTATATTTATATGCAGCCAAATTTTAATGATTATATCATATTTTTATTACATCATTGTAAATCTTTCTGTTCAATCGATTAACAATATATATTGGATCCTAGTATGAAAAATTTTGATTAAACTATAATAATCAGATCTATATGCTATTTTTCTCTCATTAAGATAGGATACAACAAGCATTCAATAAATGTCATTATCAATTGCATATAATCCTTATGTAATTTTAAGAGAATTAGTCGCAATAATAAAGTGATATTAATAATTAGAAAAATGAGATTTTTAGCTTTTTTAAGGTATTATCGCTATAATCAATTATAAGGAAGGAAACAGGTTTCTTATTCTGCAATTATATTAGTTCTACAAAATCAATTATTTATAATGTTAATGAGATGTGTCCATAATTTAGTTATTATAGCCTGTTATATGAAAAATTATTTAAGTTTATGAAGTTTTAGGAAAAAAAAGTGTTTAAAATTAGTTTTTAATTTCATTTTTATTTAGACTTATATTTTTCATAATATTTATGAGCTTTTTGAATGTTTTCTTCTTCTATTAGGCCATAATCTAAACAGTACTTAAGGGCCAATATAGATTCTGGTTTTTCTCGATATAATGATTCATAGTAGATTCTGCATGGATCATCTTCAGGAGGAGTTTCTTTTTTTTAATATAGCTTAAAGTTGTCCTTGTCATTTTCAACACTTTCAGAATTCTCATCCTCATCCTATTAAATTTTACATATGCTTTACATCATCTTTTATTTATTTTTTTTTTGCATTATTTGTTGATTTGCTTTAATTTTGAGGTTAAGGTTTTTTTTATTTACCCTTTTTTTGAACTTATTCATCTAAAGAATCTGATGCGTCTTCTGATTCATCATCTTGTTATTTTTTTGCTGATAAATTTGATTTCTTTTAAGCTTATTTTTAAATTTTTTTAGAAGCCTTTGGTTCATATGACTCTTCAGATTCCATTTCATCAGAATCTTGCTTTTTTTTGCCCTTTCCCTTTTTTGGAGGCATAATATTAATAATAATTATTAAAAATATTAGTTCAACTTTATTGAGTAACCTATAAAATATGGATGAGTTAATTAAAACAAATTATAATCAATTATTATAGAATAGTCTAATTCTATTGTAAATGAGTTATTTCAAGATTTATTATTGTGGCAAAATATAATGTCCTTGAGCAAAAAAGCTTAGTAAAAATATAAAAAGATATCTAAACTTTAATTTTAAGAGAGGATAATTATAATTACTTTACAGAATCATGGAGAAGTAGAATGAGGAAATTGGTTTACTTTAATCAATAAAGCTTATAATATGTTAATTTAAATATTATGATCAATAAAAAATCCAATAACAAATAAAACTTAGACTTATAAATGCTATGCCACCTATAATTAGTCTTCTCTTTAATCTATTTAATCGATTCTTTCTATGAACAGCAGCGGCTGTATCGTAAAAGACTTTTGAAGTATCCTCCAATTCCAAGGATTTAACTCAAATGAGATAGATAATGTATACTTTCAATTTAACTTAATTGCTAATTATTGTTGATTAGTTTTTCTATATTTTGTTGGACTGATAATTTAGTATTGTCTAAGACCTACATGATTTATTTGATTTGTTTTGGATCTTTATTGTATTGTTTTTCAAAATAATTCAGCAGCTGTAGTATGTTATCTTTCTGATTATCATTAAGAATAATATTTCCATTCAACTAATTAGATGATATTGATATCGATACAATTTTTGATTAAATGGCACTGATAAGCATTTCAATATTGTATTGATTGCAATCACTTGTTGCTAAAACCAATTGGATGATTTCTTTGTTAAAGGGCAAATAATACCATCTACCTTTTTTGGAAGGCAATGAGTCTCTTTTGATAATAAAAATGAATGTACATCTTCTGAAATTAACTAATGGTTTTGGTCTTGAGTATCATGAGGGTATCTGATAAATCTTGGACAATGCCAACTTCTCCGTCCATTTCTAGAAGCTCTAATTTCTCAGCGGTAGCCCATTTTGCCAAAGCAAAAGCTTTAATGTGATTCATATTTATTAATGTTAAAATTTTAAGTAAATATAAAAGGGGAGACATTTGATTTTGAAATATCCAAAACAGCCACAATAGCAGAGCTGAAAGCCTAGATAGTAGAGAAACAATAAGTAATTTTTTGATTCAAGTAGATTTCAGCTGCTTTTGATCTCTATATATTTGATCAACTCCTCTCTGAGGAAGGAACTGTCAACAAGATCATCTATAATTGTAAAACAGATTGTCTTGAGGCGAGATTCAAAGAGAAGGAGCAATTAAAAAAGTTCCAACAGTTTTATGATCAAGCAAAACCTCTTGTTTTATGGAAGACTATTTTATCAACAATAAAATTTATAGATAATTTAGAGGAACAAAGAAAAAGGAAGACAAAAGATTTAGACAATGTCTCTAAGGTCCTGTCCTTCTTTTAAAATGCACCCAAGTTAATGAAAACTAAAACATCCGATTTGATTGCCAATTTTTCTGATCGAGTGAAATAACAAACCATGTTGAGTCATATCAAAATGCAGGAAGATGATCAAGCTCGAAATCAAAACAATGACACTGTATTAAATATCTTAAACAACATGGTTAACAAGGAGGAGAGAGGAAATCATCATAAAATGCAACCCAAATCTAATAAAAAGAAAAATAAAACTCCTAAATTGAGTCCATAACAAGAATAGTATTTGGTTCGCAAAAAGAAAGCAATCTCGTTACTGTAAGACCCGAACCAAAGTGAAAAAGCTAAGATGCTCATTCAGGAGATGAAAAAACAAAAAGAACAACTGAAATTGAAGAGATAAGAGCAAATAGATAATAGTGCAGAGAAAATAGAATTAAGTTTAGAACATTATAAATAAGAAAGAGAAATCTTAATGCAATAGATTACTTAGGATAAAAGAAATAGAATTATTGAGAGACTTAATGAAAATTAAAAGAATCATGAATTATAAAGATAATTTAATAAGCAATCTTAATAGTTGATAAATGAATTAAAGAATAGAATGAAGAAGCAATAGGATTCCCTTAAGAATAAAGATGAATAATTGAAATAAATTTATTTCGAAGAAGCCAAAGTATTCTCATTCTTATATTATATTTAGCTTAAACTTCAAGAAAAGAGGAAACAAGCCTAACCTATTCGATTGTCAGAGTTAAATTAACATGAGGAACATTACTTGGAAAATAGAGAAATGCTTAAATTGCAAAGAGACTAGAAGAAATTGGAATGGGAAATTAAAATCAAATCTGAAACTAAATAATTGTATAAGGATTAAAAGGTATTACAAGAAGTTATGAAAATTGATTCGTAAGTTAAGAATAAGGACATCTTAGAGTAAAGGAAAAGATAGGAATTTAAAGTAAGGAAATAAAAATACTCTGAAATCATTTAGGAATTCCACAGACCATCAAATTTTAGTAAAATGGATGGTCAATAATCAATTGATGATTACTCAATTAATTAATCTCGAGATTCTAGAGTAAAATAAGTAATAAGATATCAAAACAAGTCTTAATTCGTTGATCAACTAGTAAATTAAGGAAATCAAAAGAATAGTATATACTAATTTTAATATTTAGTTAAGAAAATCTAATCAGCACTAAGTCAGGAACATATAACACAAAAAACCAAAATTACAGAAAGTCTTCAGTAAGGAAAAGTACCTGATGCTAACACATATTTCCATTTGCGTGTGCACACACCATAGAAAATAATAATCTAACAGAGTTCTGCTAAGAAGCAACCAGATTATTTGAGGGAGTTTGAAAGGGAAAGAAAGTCTATGCATCAATCTGCTCTCCCATCTCTTTCGGGATTGAACAAGTAATTATGGTTATTAAAAATAATTAAAGAAAGATGAGTCCCCAATAAGAAATGCGACTTCTCTAAAGATTAGAGGAGGAAGCAAAAAAGAAAGAATAATTAGCTCACATTAGTCAAAACGATGACTTATAAATAGAAGCCACGGATTTATACTTAAAAAGTGTTCAGGCAAAATTGCAATTTTTGGATAAGAAATTATCAAATTTTTGAGTATTAAATATTATAATTAAAACAAAATGGGTTGTTCAGTCTAAAAATCAAAAGCTGGAAAACTATCGTAGAATAATTTAGAAAGCATTCTTTAAATGTAGATTCAAGAATTAGTATAAGAATAATAATAATGTAAAATCATAGTCTATAAATTAAGAGTAATAGGATACCTTAGAAAATCAAGAAGAACTATCAATTTACGATAAAACTTTAGAGAAGTAAGTAAAGGTTCCAAAATTAAGATAACCAAGTAAGCATTTTAAATCACTATTCAAGTTTACAATTCAATAGTTTAAAGAAGAAAACTATAATAATATGAAGGGATCGTAAAGTAAAACATAGAGTTATTATGATATATAATTTTTATTAATACCTTTTTTGTAAATCTCAATCTTCAATTTATTGTTCAGTTCTTAGAGGTTAAATTTCTAAATAATATTAGTATTGTAAACAAAGTTATGAATAATTAAATTGCTAAAAAAACGAATACCAAGTCAATAGTTTTCTCTAAGAGTTCAAAAACAAAAAAAATAATTAATGAATTAGAATTAAAAGTATACACAAAAATGCTTTTCAGGTTTCATAGAGGAGATAATCAGTTTTATTTTTCTTCTCAGAATGGCAACAAATAAGAAGCACAAACAAAACATTTATGCCAAAATATATCCCTAATCCTAATAGAACGTATCCCAATATTCTTCCGGTCGACTCTACAAAATTCTTGGTTTCTGTGAAACAACTCTCTCCATTGAATGAATCATCATTTATGTCACTAAATATATAATAGGCTGAAGGATGGCACCAACCGGCACAATGCAATAGTTATTCTGCAGTCCCCAATATTGAAACAGCAGCAGAGTATGCATTAACCTCATAATCTGGACATTCCTGGATTTTTTCTATTTTTTTTTCAACATTTTTATCAGTCGTATAGTTCTTTCCGTCAAATGCTGTTTAATTACGATTCAATGTTTCTTCTGTGATATAGCATTAACAATAACTAGAACAAAAGTATAGTTCTGCTTGTTAGATCTAAGAGTCAACCAATTCAAAATAATCTTTGTTGGTGCATTCTAAATGATATAAATTTCTAACTACCTTCTCCAAAGAGATCTGAGGAATATATCAGAGTGCCTATTGCTAAACCTGTACACAAAACAAAAAATAGAATAGCCCCCAATTAGTAAGTTAATAGTAAACATCCTCTGCAAGATGTCTTTTTCTAAGATGATCCTTTTGCACCCGCTATTCCAGTTATTAAGATCAAAGCTCCTAATATGATAAGCCCGTATTCTAATAACGTTTTTAACCAACTCGCAGTATTAAAATATAGATCTAATTATATATTTTTCGATTACCTTCATAATTCAATCCTACTTGTTTATAGAGCGCATAAAATCCAAAACCTAAAAGAGTCAAACCAATTAGGATTATCAAAAAGGCACCAAAGCCAACCACTTTTTTCACAAATTTAATCATATTAATAATAATAAATGATATTTGCAAAAGCTCTTGATATGAATTTACGTCATCAAATTGAACAATAAACAATAGAGATAATCCACAAAATTTACTTATTATATATATATTTTCAATATATTAATACATATGTATATAATAAATTATCATATATTAATCAAGTCACTAACAACTTTTTTAATTCGAAATTACGTGTTAATAATTAAAAAAACTATTGAAAAAATTTAATCAATGCAATAACCACAAGGGTAGTAACCAATACAGCCAATCGACTTTTATCAGGAAGAATACAAAGATGCAGTTAGAATGTCTTGGAATACATTACCAGCAACCAAATTGTAAAGTACAAGAGCAATTGTTCCCATGGGATGTCTCTATAGTATCTAATTAATTAATGTTAGCACCAATGAAGGATTTGGAATCACTTGTCTTAGTGCAGTATTCACCACTTTATTGTAAATGTGGTGCCATTTTGAATCCATACAATTAAATAGATTTCAGAAATAAATAATGGACATGCGTATTCTGCTCTTGCAAAAACATGTTCCCAAAACATTATGCAGATCACATTACCGAAACACAATTGCCTGCTGAATTAAAAAAGACTAGCACAACTATGGAATATATCCTAGCAAACTAATAAGCTGCACCAACTACTTTCTTATATATAATTGATACTTGTATCCCTTAAGAGGATCTATAAGCTATCAGGGATTCAATTTAATAAAGTCTGTCCATCATTCCTCCTGATTCATAAGTTGGACTTATCACTTTTGGAAGAAATGTTTTTGTACATGAATTAGGATTCTAAGAATGTCCAAAATGCTATAGTTTCAAGGGATCTAAAGATTATACAACTTAATAAATATTGGAAATGTTATAAGTGAGTACAAAACCGGAAATTTTGAAAAGATTCTTAGTACCCTTAAGCGAATGCGAATTTTCATTCAACTCTATATTGGATGATCTCTAATGCGACCCATGGCCTACTCTACCAGGAGAGAGAGAAGTTAGAGCAAATGGCTCTGCATTAAAAATTGGTTCGACTTTGGTTGAAAGTGCCACTCAATTCTCAAAAATTCTCTTTTTTGTTGGGGGACCTTGTACAACAGGACCTGGATAAGTAGTAGGGTTGAAATTGGAAGAAACAATCAGATCCTATTTGGATATGTAGAAGGAAAATCCAAATACTTAATATTTATAGAAAGCCAAAAAGTTTTATAATGAAATTGCTTAGAGAGCCATAAAAGCTAGTTTAACAGTTGATATATTCGCATTCACTCTAGATCAATTCGGTCTGCTGGAAATGAAGTAAATAGCTGAGAAAACAGGTGGAGTTGTGGTAATGTAAGAAAAATTTGACTCTGATGTTTTCAAAGAGACATATAAAAAACTGTTTGATAAAGATGCTTCTGGTTTTCTTAAGATGGGATTTGGATCAAAAATAGATTTATTTGTATCAAAGGATATAAAGGTTTAAGGAGGAGTAGGACCATGTATTTCATTGAAGAAAGCAGGTCCTATGGTATCTGAAGTATCTCTAGGAGAGGGTGGAACAACAAGTTGGTATACTGGTGGTTTGGATAGAAACTCCACCATATTATTCTTATTTGATTTATCATCCACTAAAGACACTTCATTTTCATAATGTGCTTACATTCAATTTGTTACAATGTATAGACACTCGAGCAGATTGTAAAGATTGAGAGTAACAACAATACAAAGAAGATTTGCAGATCACAATAACATTATGGACATGATAAGAGGATTTGATCAAGAAGCTGCTTGTGTTACCATGGCAAGAGTAGGTATTTTGAAGGCAGAATCTGAAGAATCAATTGAAGTTTTAAAATGGCTAGATAGATCACTAATCCGAGTTGTGGCTAGATTTGGATCATATAGAAAAGATGATGTGAGTTCCTTCAGATTCCCGTAAGAAATGATGATGTATCCATAATTTATGTATCATCTCAGAAGATCTCATTTCATCACTACTTTTGGTGCTTCACCTGATGAAACCACTTTTTATAGAGTAAGTATATATAAAATCATCTTTAGGCTTCTTTATCAAGAGAAAGTGTTCAAAATGCTTTAGTTATGATTCAACCTGCTTTGCTATAATATACGATCGATGATCCAGCTGCTAATGCTGTCAATTTGGATATTCAAAGTATGAAACCTGATGTGGTATTACTTTTGGATACCTACTTTAATGTTGTCGTATGGAATGGTGAAAATGTTCAAAAATGGATTGAAGAAGGCTATTATGATAATCCTGAATATGAATATGTTAAAGAGTTAATAGATGCTCCTAATTCAGACGTACAGGTAATCATACATTCTAATATTTTCAGTATATTTTGGAAGATAGATTCCCTGTTCCTAAATTGATTAAGACCTATTTTGGTCATGGATAAGAGAGATATTTAAAAAGTAGAGTGAATCCATCAGTCAATACAGTTCAGAATGAAAATGTGGAAAGCGGTAATTATATCACAGACGACGCAAGTCTTAAAGTATTTACGGACCATCTTATTCGCTTAGCTGTATAAACTGTATAATGAATATATAAAATATCAAATAATAATATAATAACGAAATAGTTTGATAAATATTATAAAAAATTATTTAACCATAATCAATGAAAAATCGTTATGAGGATTTATATGAAACCAAAAACTAATTGTTAGGCTAGGGAGCTTTTGCTTAAGTCTTTTTGGGTGTTAAAAAATCAAATAAATAAAAGGTTGCTGTCAAAATTAGCAATAGAAATCTAGCAATTTCATAATAAGAGAAAATGATTCTGAAATAACTTTCGCAGTATCGGCATTAAAATGTAGTTCAACTTTTGGATATTTTCGATTAACAAGAAGCCTTATTTATTGTGCAAGAATACTGTTCTGGTGGAACTTTATATGAGATGATGACAACCAAAACCTTTTCTGAAGAATAGATTGTTAATATCGCATTTCAAGTTGCTAATGGTTTGTCCTTTTTGCATAGTAAAAACATTGTTCATAGAGATATTAAACCAGAAAATATTCTTAGACAAATTGATGAACAAGGAATGGAAATTTATAAAATCACAGATTTCGGACTAAGTAGTGTCAAATTGGATAGAATGACCACCACTAAAGTTGGAACTGCCTATTATGTAGCTCCAGAAATTTTAGATAAATAATAGTATGATAAATCTGTAGATATTTGGGCACTTGGGCTTATTATTGATGAATTACTTCATAAAACTCCATTCTATAATGGCATGTCAGAGGAGGAAGTCTTCTTCAAGATTAAAACTACCAATTATGTTATTAGAGATTAACAATACGCACAAGCAACTATATTTGATCATAAGAAAAATGTCATTAAAAGTTTATTATTAAACTCCATCCAAAAAGACCCTAAGTTAAGGAAAGATCTTAATTGGATTATCTAAACACTCACTGAATACTATCTCTAAAGTCCTAGCAGTTTTGAAATACAATCGAATACTAATAATGATAGATATGTCTTTGCAGATATTTCACTTGTTTCTTAATCAACACTTTGTGAATAAACTCAAAATTTCTAGTTACCTTCCTACTCAAATGATTCTCAATCTTAAATTGAAGAATGTCCTTTCCATCATCAACCGATCAGATATAGGATGCCAGGTATTAATGATAATGCTGTCACCAATGCATGTTAAAAATGTCTATAAATCTATGGGATCTTTGATCAACAAGAATTTCAATCTTATTTATCATAAACTAACTTTGAATTAAGTTCATTTTCAGTAGATTCATATTTCTCTTAAAATGAAATCATCATAGAAGCACTTAGCTATTTAAATTAATTTAAGTTGTTTTAGGAAAAGGAAAGGTTAGTCTAAGAATTGAGAGGCATTGTGATCAAACATCATAGGATACTAAGACAAGAGTATATTCAATATTAAGAAGATGTGAAATCCATGAATACAAATGCTAAATGGATTAATGAAGCTTTGAAATTAAACCTAACAATTTCTCAAGATATGCCGAATAAAATCATTCTTTACTTAATCTCTAAATGTTAAGAAAGAAAAGAAATATCTATTTAAGAATGTCGATAATTTATTAAAGAATAACTAAAATTACTCTAACAATATATTGAGTCTATATTATGAAATTGTATTTTAATAAAAGAAACCATAATTAAAGTCAGATTATTGGTTAATTAAATATATTTAATTCTGAGAGGTCTATCTACAATTCAGCAATTCCAATAATATATATATATATATTGAGTTTTTTATATTAATTATTTTTTATAATGAAATAAAAAAAATAGTAGTTAGGAGAAATCTGTTTTAATAAACAATATAATGAATCATAATTAAGAGAAGTATGCATTTATATAAGAGTAGATTATTCAAAAGTTACTAGCTAAAGATGCTAATTATAGAGTAGAAATTGCCAAATTAAAAGAATAAAACATGGAAACTATATAAAAATATCATAAAGCTTTAAAATAAATAGGAGAAATGGAAAAAGTACAAAAAAAAGTATGAAAGACTAATTAAGTTAGGATTAAATGTATATAATGCAAATAGATGGTTTTTTAATGGAGGCTAAAAAGAGATTTGATCAAAACAAAAAATAGCAAACGGATCATTATGTAGATGCATTATTAGAAATGACCAAATAAAGAGACGAATATCTCAAAAGAAATATTCAACTTGAAATTATAGTGAATGAACTGAATGAATAAATTGAAAAATTAAAACGTTAAACATCAATAATTCCATCTGCCAGTTAATAATAATTTAGCAGTCCTTTAACTGCAAGTGAAGAAGTGATATAATATGAGAATTAAGTAAATCATCGTAAAAAATCATCCATTTATTCAATGAATACTTAAGATTCAATAATAAATGATGAAGACAAAGAAGATCAATTGATGACATTTCTACATTAACTTGATGAATAATAAGCCAATTAGTTGTATAGTTTATTCAGCAGCTTAAACACTGATCTCGATTCAAAAATCAATAAGAATGAACCATTATATCAGAACATAATCTCAAATGCGAATCAGCACAAATTAGTAGAACAACCAAGTTCATTCAGTTTTTCATAAAAATGGAATGACAAGGAAAATCATTATTTCTGATTTATTCTACTTATGTTAAAATAATATTTAAAATGACTTTATCAATAAGATTTTCTTTGGGAAATTAAATAGAGTTCTGCTTAATTGCTCTATAGAATTATGTTTAAACTAATTCAATCCACATATTAAAACAATGAATCACATCAATATAATTGAATTTGATGTATTGTTTTATTTTTAATAGTGAATAATTAAATGTAATTTATATTAATATTGGTTCTCGCACTTACAACACTATCATAATCGACCGATTACGCTTTATTCATCAAAAATTCAAACTCTTAAGCTTGGGAAAGAATAGGGGAGATGAAAGTATCTAGATCCAATTTTTAAAATGCCCAGATCAACTTAAATTAAAATAGACAGCAAATAGTAGATCGCAAAAAAATTAATGAAGTAATATATACAGTGTCTAATTAAGAATACTTATGTTTTATTGAAATTGCAGAATTTGCAGGATGAAAAATCTTATATTGCGCATATAGATGGGAAATAATTATCACTTTTTAATTAGAAATCCAATTATTAAGAAATAATTACTTTAGTTTTATCAAACAATGATTTATTATCTTTTGATTATGGATTAAAACCTGTAAGGAAAAATGTCGAAACCTATATCCAAGTTTAAGTTAAAGATTTGGAAGTAGCCCCCCAAGGATTAGTACCACAATTTGATGAAAAAATTCCTGAAGAAGAAGAATAAAAACCTTAGGGAATTTTTGGATTAATTTTATAATATGTAAGTACCTCTTCTATCCTTAGAAATGGTATATCATTATTGGATTTTTTGTATTTTTCCTAACTTCACAAGCTGATCCCTAAAAGTTAAATGAAACTGTTCAATAAGCATAAGAATAAGCATAGGCATAAGCATAAAGAAGAAAAAATAAATGAGTATATTTATTACAAATGTTATATAAAAATATTTTTTCATATCGATCTATCTAAATATTCACTATTTTTTATCCTAAAGATTACCCCAATCATTTGAAAATTAATTTGGATGAAGAATATCTTTGGATGAAAGTCTTGATGAATTTAATTTTAATTTTATAGTGATTTATTTAGTATACATCATAATGCATAACATTTTTTTAAGTGAATTTTTAATAATATTGATTGCTAATAAATCAATCCTAGTGGATTTAATAATTGATTTACGATTTTATGATTAATTAATATTAATGTAAATTAATTGCCAATAAACAGATAAATAAATTCTACTCTTTACAGTATTTAGAAAACATTTTTTTCGTGACTAATCTTATTATTTAAAGTTATCAAAGAAATAAATACTGATGAGTCAAGTAAGTTATAATCATATTGAAACAATAGGAGTGTTAATTTGTGAGAACAAAGTATATTTTAGATTTGAGTTCAGAAACCTAATTTGAATGGATTGTGAGGAATCAGTAATTAGTTGGATTCCTACTCTCTTATTAGAACAAAATGAAAGAATTTTATGGTGACTCCCATAATCTCACTGAGTTAAAATAAAGACTTGGTAAATAAATTCTTTTTAAATCTCTAACAATTCACTATAAATTAGTCAGGTATTTAGATTCAGGGGCATTTGGCTAGGTATATTACTGTTCTATTTATAGATTTCATTATAATAAAATTATATAACTGGACAGCATATTGCTATTAAAACATTAATTAACACTAATAAATCTGCGTAATATTTAATTGAAAATGAAATAAAGATTCTTCGAGCACTAGACCATCCCAACATTTTATCCATTTAAGAAGTATTCCTGACAAATCTCACCTATTCTATTATTACCGACTATATTGAAGGAAAAAATTTAAAAAAATTAATTTCAGAGAATTCAGAATTATAAGAATTAACTATCCTTTAATTAGCACAAGTAAAGATTCTGAATTTATTCTTATAGTAATTGTTCGAAGGGCTATCTTATCTACACAAAATGGGTATTATTCATAGAGACATAAAGCCTGCAAACCTAATGTTGAGTAAAAATGGAATTCTTAAAATCATTGACTTTGGATTATCTTGCTATATTGGTAATCAATCTAAAGAAAACCCTAAATGTGGAACTCCAGGTTTTTGTGCTCCTGAAATTTTACAAAATATTGACAATAATGTTGCTTATGATTATAAAGTTGATGTATTTAGTGCCGGATGTGTGTTATATAAATTATTAACTTTTAAAGGCCTATTTGATGCCAGTACATCAGTAGAAGTATTAAAGAAAAACAAAAATTGTTTATTTATAATTAAAGAGTAAGGAAGACTTTTTGATTTAGTCAAGACTATGCTTAAATAAAATCCTCTCGAAAGATTAAGTAGTGAGCAAGCTTTATAATTAATTAAATCTATGATTGAAGATGACACTTTGGATGTAAATATTTGGTACAGACATTAATTGAACTCGAATTAATCAACTTAATCTAATATAATTCTAACACCTAAATAAAGTGCACATAGCAAATCTCTATAAAAATTTTAATCAACCCCAAATTATTCAAGAAGCTTCTTTACTTCTAGTTTAAAAACCTATCGATGATTTATCTCATAATGTATTCAATCTAATATTCATATTAAATTTTAACTAGTTACTTTTCAAGATAATAAGTAAACATACGAGTATCAAATTAGATTTTTTTTCTTTAAAAATAATTTCATCTCTTTGACTTTTGTTAAAATATCTAATAAAATTGTCTCAAACACAAACACAATTTTTTTACTTAACTTTATATATTTATAAATTTTGGTTAAAAATATCCCTTTTTTTAATTAGAATAATAATAAAAGAAGATAAAAGAAAGCAAATTATCATAGACCTAGTTTTATTTGATTTCTATTATTGAACAAAAATTTCTGAAATGCAAAAGGGTCCTAATTTTAAGTATTTAGGTAAATTTATTAATTTTTAACAAAATAATATTCGCTCATCCATACCTTCAGTTTGCTCCATCAATTACTTCATGAATTGCCCTTAGTAATAAATTGAAACCGTAAATCCATAACTACATTATACTAGATTATATAAAAAAATATTAGAACTTAAGCATTCTGTCTCTTTTCCTTTAAATTAATCAACTTTTAATGTTTCTCACTTTTTTTTTGAACAAAATGTTGTGGCTTTTAATATATCATTAATAATTTCTTCTTTATTTTCTTAACTCATTAAAATTAATTGTATAAAAATGGCATACGAATTAAATTAAAGAAACCTTAGCTCCATTAATTCATAGAAATAATAATAATCTCAGCTTCCTTTAAGAGAATCTATGGATTTAATTACTTAAGAATACTAAAATCTCATGGATAAATTTACATAAGAAATTTTTTAAGCAAAGTAAATCAAAAAAGAAAAAAATGAGAAAAGGTCTGAAAAGCTTAAAAATATTCCAACCTTCACAAATCTTTTATAGAAAACATAGCTTGAAAGATGAGCTCTTATCATATTTTATTTTTGAATGAATACGATACAAGTTTTTTTTCCTGAATAATATAATTTTTAATAATTCTAAGCAATTATTTAGCAAGATAATTGACATATAAATTAATAGACTCTTTTATTTTTCTTAATTATTTACTGCTTTAATTTCTCAGGGTTCAAAGCTTTAAAGCAAATTTAGATTAGAGATTTGAAGGACAACTTCTATTGAATGGTATATTAATAAATTTATATATATTATCTAAGAATTTTTCAATGAATAATCCAAAGTTATCATTATATTTATTTAGCAATATATAATGTTAAGCAGTACTCTCTTTCCATTTTTTATGGGTTATTTAAACTTCTTGTTTTTTAATTTCAAATTGAAATCAAATAAAGTAATGCTTGTAGTTTGTAAAATATAAATACTATTTATCAAAAATGTTAACAATCATAAACAGCAGCCTATTAAAAATATTGTAAACTTTTCTAAAGCTTAGATTATTTTTTATTTAATAATTTGCAGTGATTTCCTTAAAAATAGAGTTGGTATAAAACATCAGTTTATTTTTAAATTTTAATAAATGAAAAAAGGTATATATTTTCTAGAAAGATAAAAAATTGGAAGACTAAAGTCTCTCTTAATTCTCATTCTTTGAGAAAATCAAAAATTAGGAAATAAAAAATTTATTTTTGAAATTACCAATAAAATATTAATCTGTAGCAAAAATAACTAGCTACTTTAAATTTAATGACATTAATAATTGTGGTATTTAATTGATAATTAATCAAGATAATTGTTTATAAATAATAAGTTTATAAACATAAATAAACTGAGAATTTTTCACAATAAACGCAAATTCCCTATTAAAGATGAAATAACTAATATTCTAATAAATAAAAAAAACATTTGATAATTTTCTCTTATGAATTTCTACTCAATAGATTTTGAAGAATAGGATTAATAAGGTACTTATTTTTATCATATCTAGAATTTGTTTAAGAACCATAACTACAATAATCAGAATAATTAATGTACTATGATTACGAATAAAGTGAGTAAAATGAACCAGAATAACTTAATACCTTTGATGGATATTTATAAGAGGAGCCGGTCCTATTGTTTAATTTTGCAGAAGAAGCACCAAAAAAAAAATCAAGGCTCATTAACAGAAAATCCAAAAAAGTAAAAAAGGCTGATTCAGAAACTGAAGCTTCATAGAGCAAAAGATCGAAGCCTCGTATCACAAATCGAGATTATTTGAAACTTTAACAATGTTAAAGACTTAAAATAATAATTACTTAGATGGAATCTCTCTTGCAACAAACAAGAACTTAAATTTTTAACCAATACATGAAAAATCGTTCAAATTGAGTTTCTTTATTGATTATTTATATCGAGTTATATATATTTATACATTGTTTAACAAAATACTTTATGTTTACATTGAATTAAGATCTAAATTCAAAAAATCTTTAAAAATAAAAAACTACAAAAGTTTTGTGTGTTGAATTGTTTTATACATAATGATAAATTCCAATACACACCAATGCTCAGAACATGAACAATTTTTAATTTCACGATTTTGTGAATATTTTTTTTGAAAAAAATTATATCTGGAAATTTGCATTATTGAAATAATATCATATGAGGTAATGACTGTATTTAATTGACAGTATATTATAATTGAACTTTAATTATTAAAACAAAAATTCACAAAAATATTTGTACTGGTTTTCTATTGTTTGTTTAATGTTTTAATTCAAAAGAATTTTATAAAATTATATTACATTAAAAGTATTCTGCTTTACTTATGTAGCGCTGAGGTATTTAAACCTAAGTATAATTTTTAACTAATTGTTCATTGAATATAAATAAATGAATTAGTTACCTATATAATTGGAATCATAGATATCTATTTTTATACTGAAATTACAACTTTGTTAAAGGGATTACTATTCTTTGAAAGGAATTAAAATATAAATATTATCAAATTATGAGTGAAAAAATTGATTCTAATATTTTAAAGAAATATGAAATAATGACTAAGATAGGAAAAGGCGCATATGGGATAGTTTGGAAGGCAAGAGATATAAAATCTCAACGTATAGTTGCTTTAAAGAAAGTTTTTGATGCCTTTAGTAATCCAACTGATGCCTAACGAACGTATAGAGAAGTAGAAATAAATATGTTATTTTAGGTTAGCTTTTTAAAGTAACTAAATCATCCTAATATTATTCAACTAATTGATACATACCCCGCTGAAAATTAAAATGATCTATATTTGATTTTTGAATACATGGAAACAGATTTACATATTGCCATTCGAGCCAAAATTTTATAGCCTCTGCACAGAAGATATATTATTTATTAGTTATTTAAAGCCCTCAAATATATACATTCTTCCGGGATGATTCACAGGTATAAAATTCTATTTTTATATCAATTTAGAGATTTAAAGCCTGCAAACATTTTATTAGATTCAGAGTGTAAAATAAAATTAGCAGATTTTGGTTTGGCTAGAATGGTATGCACATTAGAATCTGATATACTCACAGATTATGTGGCTACAAGGTGGTTTAGAGCTCCAGAAATTTTATTAGGATCAAAATCTTATTCATTTGGAGTTGATATGTGGTCTATTGGATGCATGATTGGAGAAATGATATTAGGGAAGGCCTTGTTCTCAGGAACTTCGACAATAAATCAATTAGAAAAGATAATTGAAGTCTTAGGAATACCAACACCAGAAGAAATTTAGAGTTTAGGAGGTTAAAATTAATTATTTGATAAATATCCTAGAAATTATAAATCTAATTTGAAATCAATTTTGAATTGCGATGATGATGAGCTAGATCTCATCAAAAAGCTCTTAGTATTTGATCCTAGCAAGAGAATTTGTGTACAAGATGCTTTAAAGCATCCTTATCTTAAAGAATTTTACAACCCAAAAGAGGAAATTGTATTTAAAGGATAACTGATATTAAAGTTACAAGACGATAAACAGTATCCAGTGTCTTCCTATAGAGATTTATTGTATAAATAAAATTTAGATTTGACAAAAATTTTAACTTTAGTAAACAAATAAAAATCTCTAATATAAAACATTTCGAGCAATAGATCTGATGCATTAAAAAAAAATTCAAGTTAATAATAGTTTTTAAATTAACAGTTCGCCAAAAGCGCGTTTATGAAGAGTAATTCAACGGTCAATATAGAAAAAAGTGTTAATAAAACAGCAACAGCCACTTTACATAACAGCAACTCTAAGCAAGGTTAAAATGCCAATAAATCTTCTTCTAACTAAATTAAAAACAAATTAAAATAAATTTGCTTATAATCTGTAGAGAAATGTGAAGTTGTTGTTCAAAAAAAATCTCCAAGCTCTAAAATTTAACAAAAACCAAAATAACTAATATAATCTAACTCGAAATAATAAATTTTGAATAATGTTACCAATACATCCATTAGTCCATCATAATCCTAATAGCGACTATAGATAATAAGGCAATAAAATTAATAAGTATAAAAATGAAAAAAATTAATTCTTTATAAGTTACTAAATATAAAAGTGTACAAAATATTTTTTTCAAGAGTATTATTCTTTTTCCAATCTTTCTATTACTTATTCTTCTAAGGAATGAATCATTTTTATCGCATTCCTATATTCTGATTTAACTTAGTGTAATTCAACAATTTTATCTTACAATTCTTTGTTCAATCTCTCTACAAGTCCAAAATCAGACTAAAATAATTTAAATATCATACTTAATATTATGAAGAATTCTACAGCTTTAATTGCAATTCTTTATTCTTTATCTGTTCATATTCAAGTTGTTTCTTCAATTAGGTTATTTAAGTTGAGTAACTCAATCTTTCAGCATCTATATCAATTCCAGATGATTTTAACGTTGCTCTTTTTAATAGAGCCAACTCTCGTTTTAGATCATCTATTTATTGTTACCTAATTTTGTTATTTGCGCTCGCTGAATATTATTGTAATTTAGATTCGAAAGAATTGATAATTTATTACTTCTCCTATTACATATAGTAAATCTCGCTTCTCAATTTTTAGTTTTCAAATTATAATTCTTTGAATTAATCATTTATTTTATTTACTTAATCACTTTGTGTTGTAACTTTTTATTATTCATTATGTAATCTTACATTACTTAAATTTAATCTTTCATTCTGAATTTATAATTGTTTTATTTCTTGCATCAATGAAATTTACTTTTGAGTTGATTCTTACAATTAAGTTTACAAAGACTAGTTTTATTATTTTATCAAACTAAGTTCATATAAGATCTTTCTATATTAATCATCATATTGATTATTTGTTTGCTATTCTGAGTAAGTTTCAACAATTTTGGACGATTCTTATTAGTAAGACCTTTATGAATACTATTGCTATTCTTATAATTATTATTATTGTTGTTCTGATTGTATTTGTTTTTGTTATTTTTGCTATAGTTATTATTGGTAGTTCTATAGTTATCGCTATTATTCCTAACAAGATTATCTTTGCTCGTTATACATTTTCTAAACATGTTCTAAATCCTCAATTGCATACTTAAATTTTTATTCTAATTCCTATTCTTTAATTTTAGATTACTTTAATTAATTTGATATTTAGAATATTTAAGTTTATTAATTATTTATTTCCCTTTTTAAAGCTTCAATTTATTGTAAATATTCTTCTATATTCATTTCATTTTAATCTTGTCCAGATTATAAATTAATAACTTAATCATTTATTTATTACTTTATTAAATTATTATTTTCCTATAATCTCTTAATTTCTATTTACAAGGACTATATTTCTTATAAACAATCAAAATTTTATGCCTCTAATTATTAAATATACTCATTTTATTTATTATTAGACTTCTTTTCTAAGTTATTCTTGCTCTCAATTACTTATTTCAAATTATATTTGAGTTATTCAATTTCATTTTGTTAATTATCAATCTTTTGAATCTATTAATCAATAGTTCTTTATTAATTCAAACTATTTTAATTCATATCGTTTGCAGTTTGCTTTTGGCTAATATTGACTTACCTTCTTAGTTATTCATATTCAATTTCAATTTAATGCAGCTCAGAATATAGTAATTCATTTTTTGATCTTAACTATTCAATAACTTTATCTTTACTATTTTAATTTTATAATTAAATCTATCTTTATAATTCATCATATTTTAATTTCCAATTTATAGATTCATCCGACACAGTGAATTCCTAGGTTAATCTTTCCTTTTTAGGGGTAATCAAATTTTGTTTTGAATATCTTTCTGTTAGTAATTCTTCATATTTTTACTACCAAAGAATTATTTATTTCTTCAATTCTTCTTCTGAAGTTGATAGGCTTTTTTCATGAGAAATCAATAAATCTCCCTTTGATTTTACAGCTCTTAAAGATGAGTAATAACTTATTCTATTGTTATTTGTGGCATAAAGCGAACAATTATAATAATTTCCTCTTAAATCATCGGTTGAGTGACAGGATGCACTTGATTTATTCAGGCTTTTACTCATATTCTTTGCTTTTGGAGATTCAATAGTTGAATTTGGGTTATTAATTTCAATTTTTTATGGAATTAATTCTAATTATCTCTTCATTTCTTGTTGATTTAAGATTTCCTACTAGAGTTATTTTATTTAGTTCTACAGAGCAGAGGTTTCTTATAGATATTATGAATATAACTTTTGTTTATCACCTTCATAATTTATTAAGTCTTATTGTTATTTTTTAATAAAATCCTAGCTATATAAAAGCTTATTATGTAATTTTTTATTTTCAGCATCGATATGTTATATTTCCTATTATTTAATGCTTAATTATTTTTATAAGTCTTTAGATGAATCTAGAGAGTAAGAATCTTTACTTTCTTATAATTTGCAGTAAAGTAATTCTTAATCTTTTAATTATTAAACTAATTTCAAGTTTTATTAATTAATATCAAAAATTTAACCCTCTAGATTATTTACTATTGTATTTAAACTTTATATTTCTTTTTCTTTATCAAAAATGGATCTTTTTAAAAACCCATTTTCTTCTTTAAATTATTTAGATAATAAAGAGTTTTAAGAAATTTAATCCTAAAGTTAAGAAAAGTATTCACTGTCATTTTTCAGATTCACTTTACTCTCTTTTTATAATTAAATTAATTAACCATGAACACTTTATAAATTTAATTTTAGATTATTTAACTCTTCTTCTTTTTTATCAGAATTCGTTTAGGCAAGCTTTAATTATTGGTTGTATTAAGTAATAAAGAGATTTTGTTAATCTATTTATTATTTTAATTCAGTATTTTACTAAGATAATGATTAAAACTTAGAAATTGCTATTAAATCTTAAGGAGTTGATAATTAAAACTCTTAAATTTGAGATTTTGAAAAAGAAATATCCTTTTATAGCTGCATTATTTGATCATTAAGGAATTATTTATCCATTAATAAACATGATTCATTGTTTTTACAAAGAGATAATTCATTTTTTAGTTATCTTAATTAATCATTTAGTATTTATTTGTCTTTTAATAAACTTTTTTCATTGCTTTTAATGATTAAAAGCTCATTTTATTATTATTGTAATTGATCAATTAATAATTACTTGTCCTTTAATAGATTTTGTTCATTGTTTTTAATGATCGAAAGCTCATTTTACAGTTATCTTAATTGATCACTGAGTAATTACTTGTCTTTTAATAAACTTTGTTCATTATTAGTTTAACTTTATTTAAATCTTTCCAATTAATATGTTAATTCATCATTTTTCTTTTACAGTAATTCCACTTTATTAGTATTATTTGTATATTATGTTATTGATATTTGATACTCTTAAATTTAGTTTTTACTAACAGCAACCTCATTTTAAAGTTATCGTGTTTGATCAATTAATAATTATTTGTCTTTTAATAAACTTTATTCGTTGTTTTTAATAATCGAAAGCTCATTTTACAGTTATCTTAATTGATCACTGAGTAATTATTTGTCTTTTAATAAACTTTGTTCATTATTAGTTTAACTTTATTTAAATCTTTCCAATTAATATGTTAATTCATCATTTTTCTTTTACAGTAATTCCACTTTATTAGTATTATTTGTATACTATGTTATTGATATTTTATACTCTTAAATTTAGTTTTTACTAACAGCAACCTCATTTTAAAGTTATCGTGTTTGATCAATTAATAATTATTTGTCCTTCAATAGACTTTGTTCGTTGTTTTTAATGATCAAAAGCTCATTTTACAGTTATCTTAATTGATCACTGAGTAATTATTTGTCTTTTAATAAACTTTGTTCATTATTAGTTTAACTTTATTTAAATCTTTCCAATTAATATGTTAATTCATCATTTTTCTTTTACAGTAATTCCACTTTATTAGTATTATTTGTATATTATGTTATTGATATTTGATACTCTTAAATTTAGCTTTTACTAACAGCAACCTCATTTTAAAGTTATCGTGTTTGATCAATTAATAATTATTTGTCCTTTAATAGACTTTGTTCATTGTTTTTAATGATCAAAAGCTCATTTTGCAGTTATTTTATTTAATCATTTAGTATTTACTTCTCCTTTAACATATTTGATTCGTTTTTCTAAATGATTGAAAGCTCATTTTAAAGTTATCTTATTTAATTATTTAGTAATTATTTATCTTTTATTTGACTTTCTTCATTATTTGCTTAACTTTATTTAAATCTCTCCAATTAATATGTCAATTCATCATTTTTTCTTTATAATTGTTACACTTTATTAGTATCGTTTGCATTTTATATATTCACTACTTAAGTATCTTAAATTTAAGACCTCGCCATCACAAGTTCATTTTACAAATGTTTAATTTAGTCAGCTAACATTTAATTTTCTTTTAAAAGCCTTTTGTCATCATTAATTTCAACCTATTTAGATTCTTTTAATTCACTTATTTTGACTTTCAATTATTCTATTCTAAATTCATAGTCATCTTATATTTTTTCTATTTATTTTTTAAATTATTATTATTATTTTTGCATTTCTTGCTGTAAGTATAATTTTTCATCCTTTAATTTTCTAATTTCACTTGATTAATCATTTGATATACTAATTTATGTTGTTTCTTCTAACATATTGCTTTTATTGCTACATTCTTCCATTAGTTCCTTTACTTTATTGTTTAAATCTTTAATTTATGCTTACTACAATTTTAATTTCTATATATATTCTGCTTCTACATTTTCTAATTATTTTTTTAGTGAACCATTTTCTATATTCAATAAATTAACTTTCTACTCTAATAATGAGTCTTATTTTAACTCTCTTGTAATTGTAGTTTCACTTCTCATGGAAATTTATGGAGTGTTTTGCTTTTTAAGTTCGGACACTCTTTATTCTAATTGAATAATTTAAAGATTCAATTATTTTTTCTGATTTTATTCGTCTTCTAAATTTTCTTTACACTAAATAACTTAAGATTTAACTGTTATTAATTCTTCCTAAAGTTACTTTTATGACAATTAACTAATCTCAAGTTATGATTTTAGTTTTTTATTTTCAAATTCTAACTCTTGGTTTATTTCGTTCGAACGATTCTTTTGTATTTATTATAATTATCTCTATAAGGTTTCAATCTGTCTTTGTAGTAAGTTATTTTCGTTTTATATTTTTTACTAGTTTTCTTATAATTACTTTATTTATTTTTCTAATTAAAGTTTTTCCTGTTCTGCTTACTACTCAAATAAATTATAATCACTTGTCATTTAATTCATTCTTAGTTATAACGAGTTTATTTATTATTTTTATTTAGCAATATCATCTTCACTTTTTTTTTATGGAGAGGTAGATTAATAAATGATAGTTTCTTTAATTGGTGTATTATTTAACTCTTATTGTAATTATTGTATCTGATTTTTCAAGATGAAATTTTCTTCAATTATTTATTTATTATGATTATTTTACAATTAGTTTGATAATTCTTAATTTTTAATCGTTAATCTATTATTTTCATCCTAGTACCTATTCCTATCAAAGTCTATTTTCTTTTGTAAATCATAGATTTATTACTACAACTATTTTATTAGATCATCTTTTCTTTTAATATTATCTGATTACTATTAGTATTAAGTGATCGTAACCACTGTATTATCTGACTGGTTTATTACAGTATTATATTCTTTAGTAATTTTTTGAAATTCACCTTATTATTTATAATATTCTTCTTATAAATTCTTTATCATTTATTCTTATTAACCAATCTTCATTAACAATTCTTCGTTTTCTTAAATTAAATGAGTATTTTATAGCTATGGCAATTCTTAAACTTTTTTTGGTGTTTATTATAATAGCCTTTCCTTTTCATTAATTTACTTGATAAGTTCCTATATTTATATTTCATACTATTGCTTAATCTTTTAATTTTGCAAATTTATATCAGACAATCTTTTTTGGAGGGACTAAGCTAATTAATCATTATTGAAAGCATCTTTTTAGTATTTTTCAGTTTCTTTAATTTACTTTTCTAACTTTAAAGTCAAATCTTAAATTTAATCTTCAGAGTTATAAGCAACTGATCTTAATTCGATAACATTATTTTCCCTTTCAAAGAGAATAACTTGATTTTTTGCTTATGAAATCTATTATTTTAAATTGAAATTTTCACTTTCTAATTCATTTCTTTAAATATTCATTTGCTAAACCTATTAATTTAGTCCTTCAATTTCTTTATTTAATTTTTAAATAGTAAGTTTTAAGCTGTCCATCTAATTATTAGAGCTTATGATTTACTATTATAAAAATAAATTTTGTTCGTCCTTATTGTTTTTTTAGTTCATATGTAATTAATTGATTTCTAACTATAGTTACTCTATTTAAATTCTTTCTTTTTTTAACTAGTCTTGAAACAATTATTTTTCTTAGTTAAGTTAAGAAATCAATTCATCGGCTTGAGCTTTCCTTTTTTAATCAACTTCTCTTTCTTTTTTTTCAAATTATATTCGATTTTATAGATTAAGAATTTCATCATTTTATTTTCTATTAATAGCCTCCAGATCTTTATTGTAATCGCTCTTTATTTTAGTTAACTAGTATTCATGGTCTTAATTACTCTTTTCAATTTGCTATCTCAACAGCATCATATCTTTGGTTTAAGACTGCTTTTCTTGTTACAAAACCAAAATTTATTAATTTAATGTACTCAAATTTTAGGCTGATGAAATCTAATTATTTTATTTAGATCTAAGACTTGCCAATTCTATTTCATTTTGATTGTTTTTATTAGATAATTCACCGATTCTAGTATTGAGTATTTTAATTTCTTCCTCCCCTCTTTATTTACTAGATAATATAATATCTCTTTCTTTTTATAATTTCAAAAATTAATTTTCGAGTGAATTTATTTTGCTCTTCAATTCATCTGTTTAATCTTATTTAATATTGCTTTACAAATCAGCTAGTTATTTTTCAAGTTATATAATTCTAGTAGATGAATTCTCCTTTTGCTCTTTTTCAATTAATAATTGTTTTTCTAAATTATTAACTTTTGATTATGTCATTGAAGTGGTTTTTGTGATTTACATTTCATAATTAGATCTCATATCCACAATCTAATTTGAGAGATTTTGGCTTTGTAATTTGAGTTGTTCGATTTAAGATTTTAGATTCTTTGCTTATTCTTCATTTTCTTATTAAGATTTGGTTATGATAATCTAATATTTATTTTACATATCTTTAATTTATTATTAACTTTAATTATTATTATTTTCCCTTTCTCTTTATAATTATTACTCTAATTACGTAATTTTTTATTATAAATCGAAATTTTCATTACTCAATTATTGATTTTATTACTAAGAACCTTTTTAGATTACTGTTTTATTATTTTAAATTTCTTTTGTTATCTTAATATTAGTTAATTTTTGAGTTTATAATTATTGGTCTAACGTAAAAATCTATTGTTGAAACTAAGAAATCTATTCGTTTAATTCATTTGTCCTTTACTGTTCTTACTGTAATTATTTTTTCAAATTCTCAACCTAAATTTGATTTAAGGATTAAGCTTATTATGATGTAGATATATTTTATGCTTATAGATCTTTAACTTAAGTTTCTAATTATTGTATTATTTAAGTCTTAGAATTAAAATTTATCTAAAGTTCTTTTAATTGCTATTCTTTTTCAGTTGATTATAATCTTAAAGTATTATTTTAATTCAAAATTTCAATGTTTTAAGTTTTTTGTATGCTGAAATCTCTTTAAAGGTTTTCATACTATTTCTTAAGGACTAAATGCTGTTCTTGTTCTAACAATAATTGAGATTAAAGTGAATTCACTTTATCTTTTAGTTATTTTGTAGTTTCATTAATTTACTATTAGAGTTAAGTAATTTATTATTAATATAAATTTATTTCCTTTGATTGAGCTAATTTAGAAGAAGTCGATTCTTTTTATACTTAATCATATTTTTATTTAAGCTGAATATAATCTGCATTTAATTCTGAATATTTTTAAGTTTATTGTTTTAATTGTTTTTCTTAATTAGATATATTTTCATCTTACTAAGCTATTTTGTTTAGATTTTACTTTTAAGCATCATTTTAGATTTTTAGTTTGGTTTATAAGTCAGCAATTTACTTTTAAAGATCTGTTAATTGTTTCTGCAGATCGTCCTTTTAAACTTCATTTTAAACAGCCTTCTTACTTTTGTCATCTTAATTTTGCTTCAATTAATTTATTTCATTCTTTTACTTCTCAATAAGTATCTTTTATTCATCAAACTTTGATTGTAGTGAATTCAAATTAGATTTTTATTTTTCAATATTTTAATTATACTCTCTATTTTGAATGGCCAACTTATTTTCAAATGATTACAACTGCTATAATGCAGCTGTATATTTCTATTAGAATTATTTTTACCAATTCAAATCATTTTGTTAATAAGCTTCCTTAAGTTTTTCATTTTCCAATTTAGCTTAACTTAATAAATCATTTAATCTGTCCAATTCTTATTTATATTTTCTTAACTCATCAGGATTTTGAAGGAGAGGGTCTTTTTTATTGTCTAAGCCCTTTCTAACACTAGCTGGCTAACTTTGTTTTTGATTTTCAGGTTGTGAAGTATCATCCTTTTGATTATCTGAAATTTAAGGAATAGGTTATCCACTGGACAATTAAGAGTTCTAATTTGGTTTACTCATCAAATTATTTGGATCTTATGGTTTATTTAACAGGATATAAGGATTTTGGGGCTTCTTATATAAATTTTCTGGATTTTGAGGGTTTTTTTTATCTTAATCACTAGGATTTTAAGGTTATTAAAATTATTCTTCCTATTTAGGTTATTCAATAGGTTATTCCTAAGAATCAGCTTTAGGTTTAGTTTATTCAGATGGATCTTAAAGTTAAGGAGATTTTTAGATTTCTTCTGGTTTTAAAGGTTCTTTATCTTATTCGTCTGGTTCTTATGGTGCATTGCATAATTCAAAGGGTTCAACTTAAGAACTGTCTACAGGTGTGGATTATAAAATTTAGGCGGGAAGAGATTTATTACTCTAATGTGAAGGTCCCTTTTATTTTCGTACACTCAAAGGTTCTTGTGCTTCTCTCTTGACTCTCACTTATGAAAATGGTTAGGAAGAATTGCTATTAGATATTACTGGCTTTCTGACAGCGTTTGGAGTCATGAATAATCCATTAGGATTTTATGATATAGGTTTTTAAAGTTGTCTGGTCTTATTTAGATTTTCTGGATCTTATGGAGAGTAATCATATGGATAAGCTAAAACATGTATGGGAGATTTATTTTAATCGCTTGGGTTTTGTGGATATGCTCCAAATTGAGTGGGAAGGTATGGTTAGGATTATGAAATCAAATTGCAATTAACAAGATTTTATTATTATTAAATGAAATGTTATTATGGATCTTAATATTGTTAAAGGGGTTGCATATTTACTGAATGATATTATTTCAAATCTTAAAATCTAATAGTTTATGGTGCTTGTGGTTATGTTTAATATGGCATATATTAAACAGGCTAAGGTGAAACACTTCTTTATGTCTATTTAGGAATTGTGTTTTGCAAATTTTATTATGGAATGTTTCTTTATATTGGAGAGCATTTATATTGTATTTGATGAGCGTGTTATGGCATATTGAAAAATATTGAAGTTTGTGGGATTATTTACTATTAATATTAGACAGCATTAGGAGAAAGTTCTCTTTTAGTTTCAGCTGAAAATGATCGGTATTTAATAATATTGTTAGGAACTTGCAACTAATTTTGAGGGAATAATCTAGCTGTTTAAGGAATAAATTGTTATTAAGAGGGTTGAATTTTTTATTATAATAAATTAATTGGTTATTTCATGAAAATTTATTGAGGAGGTGTGTAGTTTGGACTTGACGTTCTCTCATTTCCTTAAGTTTTCAAAATTCTATAAATTTTTCTTGGAGGAGTAGTTTGTGTTGGTAATTCTTATCTTTTAATTAATAACATATGATTCAATAACTAAATTTGGGTTTCTATATTTTAAATAGTAAGAATAGGTTGATTCTAAATAATCTAAGTTTATCTTAATAATTCATTGAATTAAGTATAATGATTTTATAAGGATTTTCTAGAATATCTTGGAGAATATTAGTTCTAAGGATGGGCTATTTAGGGAGGCTATCCTAAGAAGTGAATTGAGCTTCCTGATCCAACTGACTGAGGCCTTTTTATTATTCTGTAGCTTAATAATGATGAATTTGTGAAATCTGTAGGAAGGATTGATTAGAACTGTTATTTATATCTTCTAGGTGTTTTTGTAGCCAAAATATCGTGCAATATTGGAGCTGTACATTAGGAGTCTCCTCTGAGTGTTGCATACTATGGTTATGTAGTTTGGTTAGAGGGATGTGATTATATGTCTACTAATCTTTTATTTAAATGTTCATTGTCGAATAATAGCAAATTCAATTTATCATTTAAAAATTTAAGCTCTTATGTTAATCTTTAGTTTTCACGATATAAATTCACTTATTATGAACTATATTACCATTAGAGCAATTCCCTTTCTTTTTAATCTAAAAGTTAATTAATGATGTTTAATTGAGGTGCATGTTAAACTATATGAGGTTAATGAGTTTTCAGTAAATTAATTTCTTCGTTTTTTTCATGTATTAATTTAGCATACCATTACTCCAAGTCGTATAGTTTTTACCTCAAAGATGGAGCATCTTCAAACTATTGTTTTAAAAGTTAATTTTCTTTTTACAATTATTATATCTAAATTTCAGCATTTTTATATTATGTATTGATTACAAATAATTGTTAACTTATTAATAGATTCATTTCTTATTGAGACCTAAATAATGATATTTAAGGTTACTTTTCTTGCAAAATTTAAGAAATGAGGTCATTCTTCTATTGAATTTGTTTATTTAATTCAGTAATGGCTTATGCTTATTTTGCAATTTATTCCTTGTCTTAGAGCTCTAACAATTATTTTTGATATAATACCTCTATCAATTAAATCTTATATTTTTTTTTCGAAATAATCCTTCTTGGATATTAAAATTTTATGTAATCTCTCAATCTCTGTAGCCATTAGAATAATATTCATCTTTAATTCTAAACTTTATTATAATTGTTAATTTTGTTCATTTTCAAACAGATTAGCTTGCGCCTCTACAGAACTTTGTTGTGGAGGTAGCATAAATAAAATAATTAATAAAATTAAGTAAATTCATTTCAGTGGTTAAGAAGTTGGCATTAAATTATCAAATATAATAAAATTATTTATATATATATATAAATCTAAGATATTTCACATAATTTGAACCAAGATGTTATTTTCCCAATGCCCAACTATTATTTATCCATTTATTAGTAAGATTCCATAACCATTGACTTTGCCATCTTGAAAGGTTCTAATATAAAATCATAATACAATTTACCCTTATAAAACAGCTCCATTCTAAAATACAAGATGACCTTTGCCATGCATCATTTTATTTTTTCCTTCTCCATTATACGACTTATAAATTTACATCAAATTGGATAAATCATTGGGATCCATAATGTTTTAATCCTAAATTATTGGATTCTGTAAAACTATTTTTTCAAAAATATCTTATTGAGACTTCTGTCTTTATTTTTATTTGTTCTAAGGAATTTCTTTAAGAATTGATCCACCAGAGTCAGTAGAATTTTTCTTCGAATGTTTTCCTTTCATAAGCATTAATAAACTAGAATTAACGTCTTCCTTTTCTTTTTGAGGACTTGATTAACTGCAAGTTATATTATCTTAACTAGGTCTTTTAGACTTTCTACTTTCATTTTCTTTAATTAATTGTCTTGATTTTATTAGACAGCTCTCTAACATATTCAACAACTTCGTTTTATCACAACCTGCCTTCTCTTAGATGATACTCTCTTCCTCACTTTCTTCAGGAATTGGTTATATTTAAGGATGAATTTGTTATTGTTATGCATCTTATATTCGAATATTCTGTTCAATTATATTTTCCCAAGTTCTTTCCTATGGATCAATAGTGAGCATTATTTAAACCAAAGTTATTAATTCTTAAGAATAGTATTCTTTGGCTGCATCGAAATTATCTTAGAGTAATTAGTAATCAATGTATAATTTATTGTTGTCATCTATAAAATAAAAGTCGTAACCAGATTTTAAGGTCATAGCTTCTAAAAATACGATTCCTAGTGCCCATATATCTGCTTCAATTGTTTCGTATTTTTATTTCCACCCTTCAAATTCATTAATTATTTCAGGTGACCAATAACCATACTCTTCATTATCTGGAACATGGGAGTAGTTCCTCTTGAATTATTATGTAACAACAAAATGATCTGCCAATTTCACTTGCGAATCTTAACTAAACACTATTGAATTTGGACTTATACAAGTATGGGACAATCCAAACTATTCTGAAAATTATATATTTACATCATGAAATGATTTCATCGCAGACAAGCATGCTTGAAAAGTGTTATAAAGTTCTTCTTCTGACCAATATTAATTTGTGTTCCTACGCTTTGATAATTCTTCCTCAAAGTTTTTAATGTATTATTCATATAATAAGCATAATTTTGATGTTATGACATAATCTGTGAGTTACAGTAAATTTAGAGAATCTAATTATTTCCTATTCTCCAAAATCTCTATCAACTAAGAATTGGGGAGTATTTGTTTTTTCCCAATAAATTTTGGTATTTCATATTCTTTATAAACATATAACAGGCTGTTTGAATTATGCTGTAGAATTATATAATCTGAGTTTTCATCAACCTATATAAATTGATAATCATTTATACTAAATTGTATTGAGAAAGATCCATAACTTGAATTTAACAGTAAAATAATAATTTAACTATTTATATAATTAATTATAAAAACATATTAATTCCTTTTATTCTTAATTTAAAACTTCATGACTTCTTGCTAATTTTAAGAATTGAAATAGAAGTACCAATTTTAAAGTACGCTTAATAGAAGGTATGACTGTAACAATTTTCTTGTTAGAAAGTATTAATCTACAGATTTATGAATAAATCAAAACACTAAAACTTGATTCTAAAACTCTTTATTAAGGATAGATTTAAAATAAGTTAACAACAAATCTTAAAATACAGCATAATTATAATATTGTTGAAGTTATTCTAATGATTATTTCAAATAAAGGAGAGTTAATTTCAATAAAATAACTTTACTAGAAACTTATTTAGATTTTAAAGGGACTACGCATAGTTTAATACCAAAAATGATTTAGCAAAAAAAATAGAATTTTGCACATATAGTTTCAAAGAATAGATTTAAATAACCTTTTAATATTGTTGAATACCAAAAATTAATTATCATAATTTAGGGTTTTGTTAACCAAATTAGCTTTATACATAAGAAGGATGGCTGCTCAATTTTTAAATCATTCTCAACTTTTATAATGTAAACTCTGTAATTTATCTATTTTATGAATTATTGTTACTTTAAGTAATATAAATCTTTGAATAATTAATCAAATAATAAAATTGGTGTGAAAATAGTTAACTCACAACTTATTCCTTCGCTCATATAATTAACAACATTTGATAATATTCCTATTAGTTTTCCTTACTCTGAAAACAATCCTCCTCCATTTAAACTATTTTTGACGTAGCAATTAGTTATGAGAGTAGAATTTTCATTTTACTCGTTTTTAAGTAATTTCAATATTCGCCCTCTTGAAATATTTGGCTGATTTTGAAATACTCCTTCTTAATAACAAATCAAATAAACAGGCTATCCAATTTCTAATTCCTTATAATCAATAAAGTCTTCTATAAATAAACTACTTTATAAATATACTCCACATTTTGCTAAAGTCATATTAAATGATTGTTTAAAATCCTGTAGAAGGAAAGCTTTCTCTTAATTCAACCCTACTAAGATTTTCGAGTCTTTTTCATTATTTATAAGGAAATTTGAAGCAGTTAATATATAGCTTATTTGGTTTTTCTTGTCATTAATAATAACTGCACTGCCTATTTGACCAAAATCAGATTGAACAAAATTTGATGCCTAAACCATTTTATCAATTAATAATGATTATGAAAACAATTACTGTATTGATAGTAAATTGAAATTTGATTAAAAAATAGAATTTATAACTTTCCAATTCAGACAAAATGTGAAATAGCGATTATAAGCTTAACCAATTTACACATTTTAGAGAATCATACCTACATATTCTCCATTTGAATTAAATATAGCCCCTCCTTCTTATCCAGTTTAACTAATTAGGTCTAAGACTATTAACGATTGTTCAAATTAATTGTTTGTAATGATTTAAGATATGATTGCCTTCTTAAAGTAGTTTTTATACATTTCTTAACCTTATATTGCAAATGGAGAACTAATCGATATCAATTATTGACCTTCTTTGAGGGGACCATCAATATATTTAGGTATTATTAAAGTATCTTTTTAATTCAGCATTTCTAAATATAAGATATATCCAACATGCCTATCAATATCATATTGATTTAAACAATTAACAATTGATTTTTCATACGTTAAGCATAGAAGATTTAATTCAACAAACTTATTTTGTTCTTTTAGTAAACCAAATTTTACATGCTTTTTGATTTAATCAATATCAAAAGTATTAATGTCCTCAGCAAATTGAGCTAATAAATATCCAGAAGTTAAGATTAATGTATGATTTTAAGTAAGTGGATGAAAGGAGCATGATTGTGAATGAAACACAGATTCTGTAATCTGAGTTGTAATGACCATATTTTTATACTGATTTATAAATGAAGGATGTGATGACTGCATCATCATAATTCCACAGCAATTATCCATTTATAATAATATTTATATTTTAAATATATTAATTCAATCAATTTTAAATACTTGTGATTCATCTTCATGTTATAAATAAATATATTCACAGTCTTTATCCCATTCTAGTGTATGATGCAATGGTTATAGAAAATTAAATTAATGAGTTAATTTAATATATACATTTTCATAACCTTATAAAAATGAACTAGTTGGTTTTAATTGAAATATCTTTAAATTTTAATCTTTCTAAGAAAATGAAGCTAATTAATTGCCCTTACTATCAAATGCTATACTAGTTATTTATGCTAATACATAAATTTATATATTACATTAATATCTATCTAATGGTTATAACTTTACTCCATATCTTAGATCATAAATTTGCACTAAACCTTCAAAGGCAAACGCCAATTTTAATTTCTTTTAAGAGAAACTTATGAATTCAAATCTCTAATCTAAATATTACACTAATTTCACAAAGGTCTTGTAAGTATACCTCCTTAATTATTGATTGTTCTAATCTATCGATCTAATTTTATAAATATATGTGTTACTTAATTGATAAATCTAAGATGAATAAAATTTCATTGGGTTTAATATCAGTTTTTGATAAACAATGCAATAAATCAAGAATTGAGCAGGCAATTATTGGGTAATTTTCTGTTTAATTTATCATCTCCTTAATTGTCCCTTTAAAATCTTCAAAAAAATATTCAGATAATGCCATGATCAAAATTCTTAATCTCTATTTTATTCTCTATAAATCTAGTTGACTCATTGATTAATATTGTCTCAAAATTTCATATTTATCTTTGTCTTTGTCTTTTGATTTCTTATTTATAGTAGCATTTATTATTTCTTTTAATGAAAAACCATGTTTGTATGTTGTATATATGTAATAGTAAATTTATATCAATGTCTGCAGACAAACTTTGGGTTATTAGATGCATTTATGGAAATTTTTCATTCCATCTTCTAGCAATTTAATAAATACAAATACAATGTTTGGTTTCTTCAAACATAATTAGTGAGTGAAGCCAGACATTATTCTATTGAACACATAATTAATCATTTCAATATTACTCATCATCTATTACATTAAATATGTTTGAATTATTAAACACATAATTTCTAAAGAAAAATACACATTTGAACTACTCCTTTCAAATAACTACAAGAACTCTTTAGATGTTCTTTGTAATACTACAATATCATTACAAAAACTATCCATTTTCTTTATCTGTTATGAGATCAATTAACAAGAAATTTCAATAATGTCTTTTGAGTTGTCAAGACTATATCTAGATAAACTTAATAAACTTGTAGAATTATTAATTTCAGAAATCTAAAATCTACTTTTTATTTGTCTTAAGCATAATGCGGCTGCTATGCTATATTAAGTAGACATTAATCCACTAATTTAATAATTATTAGACTGAATCAATCTTGAAAATCCTTCAGCCATTCCCTATAGACCAAATTAGCATTTAAAAATGGGTATTAGATTCAATGCATGATAAAAATGGACATAAGTGAATGGGATCTTTAAAGAGGCTGTATTTTCCATTGAATATTTTATTAATTCAATATTCTTTTTACAATCAAACCATATTAAATAATAAGATGAACTAGAATCTAGTCTTCTTTGCTCTTTTTATTATTTATATAACTTATTTACTCTATCAAATTATAATGTAGATTTGAATTATTTTAAATAAATCTTATACAATAGAAACATATCACCCATCTCCTAAGGCTCAAATATTGTTATTGATTTATTTCTATAACTAATTGCTTAGTCTTCATAGGAAAGAATATGTAAAATTTCATCAAATTCAAAAGTATTCTATTGTATTTTGTTTAAGGTTCCAAAAAAGTCATAAAAATATTATGGAGATGTTTATTTCAACTCTTATGAATAATTGTATTAAATCTAATAACTCCTATTTGAATATTCTAAAAGATCAAATTAAGATACTTAATCAGTTTTGAATGATTTGAAATCATATAAATTGATCATTTATGACAACTTCTATGTTAAAAGTGTATCAATATTTAAATACTCTTGCAATTATTGTATATTTATCATTCTCTCGAAAGATCCTTTCTCCATTGACCACACTGAAACTTCAACTCCTTTTGAAAATAGAAATATCAATAAGTGTGGTACATAATATAATTTCACTTATCCTTTATTTATCTTAAATTAATTATGAAAAGAAAACTTCTTAACATTCAATATAGTATGGTATATGACAATAGAATCATCTTCCAACAATAAAGCCACAAAATGTTTAGCTAACTTTCTTTTAACAATAAGGGCATCATTATTTGAAAAAGTACTATTGCTCGACTCCTAAAACAATTATCTTATTTAAATCACTTACTTTATGTTTGATGGTAAAATTGTTTAATAAGTTGAAACAAAATCAGCAGACTGATTATCAAATTTACCAAATATGCTTGATAAGCTAAAAACTTTTAATTTTAATGATTGATCCACAGCAAAAATGGAGTTTTTGATAAATTTCAAAAAAATTATGTTTTTCTCAAATTCGTGATTAACATAAATGTTCCATCTTTTATTCTTTTCATAGAAGAATGGAATTAAAAAGATTTGGCCTTATTCTGTTCCAAAGATGGCAAATAGATCTGTTTTATTATATAAACCAATTGTATAAATGCAAATGTTCTGAATTTAATTTAATTACTCTTAAATTTCAATTGGCAAGTTTTCATTTAGCGATTTTAAAATGTCATTTTACTCAAAAATTGATAAATCTATAAGTTTTTTTGGTAAATCTGTAATTTCTAATTATTTGCTTTCATTTATAAATCTTGATTAAGAATGCAAGTAAAGCATAAATCCCTCTGATAATAGTTTGATATCAAATAAATTATCCTATTAGAGACTACAAATACGAAAATCCTCGTAATTAATAGAATCTGGTATATAAATTTCAATAATGCATCCATTTTATCTAAATAATAAATTATTGATTGTGTAGATGATCTTTTAGAAAAAGTATTTAGAAACTTAGATTGGAGTTAATTATTAATTAAGTTATAACAGGAGTTAACCTTAATAGGATTAGCTTTACTTTGAAAAACTAAATCCATTAAAATCTAGAGTTATACACTAATTATAACTTTTAGATATTAAATTTATTATGTCTTGAATATCTTTCTCATAGATGAAACTAGTGTGTCCATTCAACTATTCAATTATTATCATTGTTTTATTTTGACTTTTAAATAAATGGACATTTCTAAATTTGATCAAGTTTGTAGAAGATTTAATTGAAAACATTTCCCTCTATTGTTCTGTTTCTTTAAACGGAGAATTTACAACATATATTGATTTTGAATAAACAATATACATGATCTGTGATTTAGTGTTGTAAACTGTATTGATTATTTTACTTTAAGGCAATCCTTTTAAAGAAAAACTAGAAGACATTCTAATCAACGATTTTTTCAATCCATTTTTCTTTTTTTCTTATGCTTTCTTTTCAATATACTTTAAATAGTTTTATCTTTCAGTTTTCTTATATGCTGATGTATCAATTTTATAGACTCTACATTTGCTATCTTGAATATGATCAAATAATACCAATAACAGCAAAGTCTGCTCCAATAGATGTAAAAATGGTAAATCTTGGCTAATCAAATTCATCCTGAATCTAAAATATTTTGCTGCAACACATTTTCCATAAATCATATATGTAAAGAGCTGTTCCTTCACCAAAACAACTTATATATCTACTTGTTCGATCACCAATTGGGTAGATTTGAGTTATTTATTTTGTATATGGAAATTAATCATGATCTGAAATTAAAATTTATTTGCCATCTAACATACTCAATATTCTAATCCTCTTATCTTAATGAATTGCTATCGCACAATTCATATTGCTATCCTAGAATTCAGCAAATGGTCTTCTCATTATTTATAATGCTGTGACTCCCCCTACTCTGTATATTAAATGTGGTGTCGACTTTATAAGGGGTTTTAAATTGAAATTGTCAAATTCCCAAATGATGATGTCTCCATTAATTGAACCTGTGGCAATCCTCTTTTTATCTAAATCATCAGCCCATGCTGTAATAAAATGATTTTAAAAGTCAAATGAGCCGAAATAAACAGGAATAAACAACTCTGGCATATTAATATATATAAGATAATTATTATTAAATAAATATTTATAATTCATAATCAAGAATCATAATTTTATTTCTTCATTTATTTTGTCTGATTATGAGTATTAAACTACTTACTCTACCTATGTTTTGTAGTCTCATATAATTTAGCATTTTTATGTTTCTCCAATTTGTCTTATTCAACCTATCCATATCTAGTCAAAGATGCTTCTGTTGAAAATAAATCAAGCTATTCTATAGGATATCAAAATTACATCAAAGTTTATTTTTTAAAGAGAAGATTTATGAAACTCAAAAAGACTTGACTTTTCAGATAGGTTCTAATCAATATAGCTTTAAACTTTCATCAGTTTGCCCAAATCCAATTTCATTTTTAAGTTTTTAGGTTTTATAATACAGCTATCTTTATATTTCCATCCGCTTATCCCCAGAAATTGTTCAAAGCTTGGTAAATTCATTTCAACTTCAACACTATCTAAAGAATTTATTAATTCAATTTTTACCTGCATCTAATAAATTGCCCTTAATTGAATTTTAATCATCCTAATCACAATACATTTCATAGTCTACTTCAACCATTCTGAAATTAGCCTTTATTTCAGTAATATAAATCTCTTAAAATTCTAATTATTTTTCAGAAATCTTTGTATATTTATCCTCATAATCCACTAATAATTTCTGTTGTTACAAGACTTCAATTTTATCCTCCTATATTTCTGGTATCTTAGATAACTTCTTTTCTTTTTTAACCTTTACATCTGCATAATCAAATAAAATCTTCACCTAATTCTTATCAGAGGAAGATTACGGGACAATTATTTAAGAATTCTTTATTAGAACTTAATAATTGAACTATTCTTTATTGAGTTCAAAATTCTCCTATTACTTTAATTGCATTTAGAATTCAAAATCACTCTGATACTTTTCTGATAATTCATCTTTATTTTTTTATATTATTTTTTCAACTTCTGATTTAAAAGCATCTAATTCATTCAAAAATCTTGAAATCATATAAAATTGCACATTTTCCAAATGAATAATATTATTTTCTAATAAAATTTTCATTGCCTAATGTCCATTCTATTTAATTAAATTAGGATAATAAACATTCTCTCCTTTAGAAGGTTATGGTTTCAATTCTAAATCATTAACTTTTAATTCCAATTCTTAATTTAATTTTTTCTTCATAGAAATTTGATGAAACTCAAAAAAGAAAAACTCCTTATCCTTTTCTTATAGCACAACTTAAAATTCTTCTATCTTCAATTCCAAAATAAAACTCAACTTCTATTATCTCTACAGTTTGTCTTATATAAATAGATTAATCATTTTTGGCTGATCAGTTCCCATAATTTCTAACTCCTATAGGAATATGTATTTTAAAAGATGTTGTCTTAAATTAATTGATTCTTCTATGTTTAAAAGATAAAAACTGTTCAATCCTATTAATAAATCAGAAACTCTCTATTAAGATAATTAAATTTAACCTTAATGAACAGAGATATTGATTTTTGGATTTAGATTTTAAAATTCCAACTTAATACAAATAGCCAAAGGTTTTTCAAATTTCTTTGTCTCTTGCTGAATTCCTGTTTTAGTTTATGTCAGTCTATCTCTTTTAGGCATTGTTAATAAATTCTCTTTTTGTTTATTTAAGTTGTTTGTAATACTTATTTTAATTTCTTCAACTTGTAATTATAATGCGTCTGAAAACTTTTAAACATGAATCAATTTAACATCTATGATTGAAACCATATTAAAATTCAATATAATTGAATGGCACTTTACTATTATTAGATCTTCAGTAGGGAAAACTTATGTAATATTACTTTTAACCTTTGAGAATACTTCTTAATTCACAATGCTTGATGAATTCTTCTTATGAAAACTTGATTTTGCATTGTTGGAAATTTGACTCATATATTCTAGATTCAATATGATTTTGAATTATGATAATTTAAAGTATGATTCATTAGACTTCAAATATATATTTGATATATTAGCTGAGACAATCATTTCATCTAATAATTTAATTGGACTATCCTATAATTATTGTTTCTCTACATTTTCATCTGATTTATAATTATAATTGACAATGTCCTATACTTTCTTTAAAACTGATTAAATTTTGTTAATATTTTAGAATGTGGTTAAAACATTGCAAGCAGCATGTTGATTTTGAAATATTGCTTTGATCATTTACAAAGAAAAAAATATTTTTTTTTTTGAGTTCTTTTCATTTCTTTAGAAATTCTCTTTGTTTTAGATTAGTTCTGTCCTGAGTGGTTTATTATAATAGAGCAATATATAAAGATTTGGATCAATTTGTCTCATTTAATCATCATCTTGGATTAAACTATTAATTTCAAATGATTTATCTTCATAGTCTTTTGAGTAATCTAATCTAAACATATCTTTTTCGTTGCTTCTACAGTAGAAGATGAATTTATCATCCAACTTTTACCAAAATAAAAGTGGTTCCTTTACCTTAAAAGCAGGCTAAACCAAAACATAGTTAGTTTCTTTCATTTACTTTTCTTAGGTACTAGCTTAATTTGTATCCTTTTTTTAAGCAGATTACCCTTTTTAAAAAGAAATATCTTTTTAATTTTATTTTTCAAATTAATTATTATCATTTTCTTAATCAAATCTTTATTTGCTAGTACTTATACCTTATTCCTTAAATTTAGAAGCTGAACAATGAATCATAATATTCTCCTTGAAGTATCCTATATCTCTAGTGATAACCAATATAGGAAATGCCAGGATCGATTTATATTATCCATGATTGGACACTTTCTATGTGTTCTAAAATGTAATTTTAATTCCTTATTCTTTTTTATGTTTGGCTTATAAATTTTAACTATTTCCAAGTTTTTGGCATTCATTATGTAAAATATGGAACCAACAAGGAACATCTGCACTTTTGGTAATTTCTGATATGACTCCAAATAAGATATTGGTTAATTCAACAGTTTTTCTATATTTTAAGATACAATGTTTACAATCTGAACTTTACTCTTTATGATCATGAAATAAAGTATCTAACTCAGCTTTTAATAGACTATCTTACCCTATTTTATGTTTTTATTATGGTGTTTATTTAACTTTGATATTATTTTTTAAGATCAAAAGTAATTCAATAAAACTAATGCAAGAATCATTTATCCTCAGATTTAAGAATGGAATTTAGACATATAATTTAGAATCTGTTAATAAAGCATGATTTTCAATATTGGCTTAGAATTTAAGTGCTACTATTTACGTTTTCAATATAGTCTATTTGATTCCTTTGATATGGAACATAGGATCTCTTGATTTGGGTTATTATTATTGATTTTTTTAACCTTTTTATTGGCTCTTATGTTCAGCAGATTGAGATTATTATTACGATGTTTATTTAGAAAATGGGAATTTACTTGAAGATAAACCAGACTTTTTGTCATCAGACTGTTATTCCTTCTCATAATTTCTTAATTCTTCATTTTTGTTTTTGTAATCTTATGAAAAATATTTATGAGCAATTTTGAATTATTCTATGGTTAGTCTATAAGCAGAAAAATATTTATAATGTTATTAATACAAAGTTTATCCAGATTTATTTACAATATTTTAAAATAAATCATCAATTTTCACAGTTGAATAATTAAAATTTTTAATTTAAAATTTTAATTCTGTTTTAATTATGTTAGATATTTGATCAGATACAATTCTAATTTTAAGCTTATCTACAAATTAAATAGAAAATTTCATTCCAGGAGGTTTAGTATTTTCTTATCCTAATGGCTTGGACTTTAAAATACATTCCAAGAGTTTATGATCTTATGTGACATATAATTATCCTTAACTCAAGGAAGTCTTATCCATGCTTTAAGAAAAGTCAAGCAAAGAGCTAAGACTTTTTGATGAAATGAATATAGAGAACTTCTGAAGTATAATTGAAATTTATTCATTGGATTATTCATCTAGAGTTTATTAGGAAGAAACCTTTTTCCTTTTCTCATGAGGAGATATTTTATAATCCGATTGATCTCCTTCTAAATATAATGAAATAGATAAATTATAGCTTTTAGAATCAGCAGGGAATGTAAGTTTATCCTTTAAATTAATGATGCATAATGGAATAACTTTATCACCAAATTCTTCTAGAAAAGGAGCAAACAATGATTTTTTAATGATATCTATAAGTTTGGCATGAACTTCTTCTAAAAATTTTTGTTTATTTGAACAGCCTATCCATTAGTTATCATTTTCATATTAACTTGATCTATCATAAATTTGCAAAGCAGCTTATTTCAGAAAGGCCCACTTATTTTCATTCTTTTGTTATTTAATTACATGCAACAACATAGATTCATCAACTTCATCTTTCTCCTCTTTATCATTAACTACAAAGTATTTATCATAATTCTTAAACTATTCAGTTCCAAAATCCTAAAATCCATGTTTATCATTTTCATAATCTATTAAAAAGCATGAAACATTATTCATTTAATTTTGACTTAAGAATTCACAGAATGTTTAAAAACAAATTTCACTACCTTAGAAAAATGATTAATCCTTTGTCACTGAAACGTCAAAAACATCATTAACAAATTCGCTTACTCTGACTCTTGAATAGCTAAATTACTTTTGATCGAAATTGTCATCACCTTTTGATTTCTAAGGATTGTCCTTCTTTTTGAATAAAGGTGATTGACTTTCAGTATTTTCATTATATTTATTCTAAAATTCCATTAATTTTGGAACCATTCCCGATGCTAATATTTTAATCTCACCAATTACTATTGTTGAATTCTCATTTTCATTTGTTTTTACTCTACCATTTTAATAAATAGAAACTGGAACCTTAATTCCTATTAAACTGACAATTAGAATTAATTTGTTGGTTCGATTGAAGTCAAAATTCTATTTTAATTAAGAATTGTTATTCCTCTAATCCTAGCTTAAATCTTAAGAAAATTAGAAATCATCCTTCTACAAATCTTCAATTTCTTCATAAAAACTATCAATCTCTTTTGCAGTATGAAATGATCCATCATCATTTTATCTTTAAGTTTGTTTAACTACTTCAGATATAGAATTATTTTGATTAAAAGAAGATGTTTTCTATTTATCAATCTATGGCTTTTTAATTAGTTGAATACATTTTTTACATTGACAAAATGAAAATATTTTTGTATTTTTAGGACAATATTAAGCAACATTAGCTGGACGACATTCTAGAATAATTAAAAAGATTGAATGAATACTCACATAAATCTGAGTTTTGATTTAATCAGGATCATTATTTTAACCTTTTAAATAACTTGAAAGAACTTAAGTTTTATCTCGTTCAAGAATTTCATACAAATTAATTTTCTCATCATCTTCCAATTCAATTGGTACATCATCATCTCTCTTTTTTTATTCTTTCAAAACATATTGATCATTAATAGTATTTGTCCATATTTCAAGCATAGGCTTTGTATTTTGCTTATTCTATCCTTCTTTAGAAGAATTATAATATCTCTTAGCCTCTATTCTAATCTCCTAAAATGCCCATTCTCTATATTTCAATAAATCTTTCAACGACATTTACTCTTCACATTTTTTGAATTTAGTTTCATCCTAAATTGTCCAACATGTCAACCAAGGCACTAAAATTATTGTTTATTTTCTTTTATATAATTCTATATATCTCTTCATTAACACTAATCTTCTTGATGAATATCCTAAGTCTAATTTGTGATTCTTCTGGTTTTACATTACTGCATTGATTAAGTATTTCCACCACTCTCCATAATTATTCTTTACTTCACTTTTTGGTCGAAAATGAAAATTATCTTAAACAATTTCCAAATTCTATAGAACTTCATTTAATTTTAGCAAATAATTTTTAGATTCCTTATTTAATTAGAATATGACAGGAGTATCTATATTGATTGTTAAATTTTGGAATGGCTTACCTTATTCATCCTAATTCTTATTGATAATTAATTTAATTGAAATATCTATTGGACTTAATAATTGCTATTCTTCTTTTCTCTTAGATGCCTTCACATACATTATTCCTAACTTTTTAATTTCAATTAATTTATAAATTGTGTTCACATCGCCATTAAATTTTTATTGAAATTGTTTATCAGTTGCTTTTATATGTATGTCAGCTCTTATTTTTAATTATGTTTCGCAACCAAAAATTGAATAATTATAAAATCGTAAATAAAAGGATTTCACTTACACAGACATATTATTGTAAATCCCATCTACTATTTTTTGAATCCAATTGGGAGGAGAAAGCTATTCAAAATACTTCGCCATTTATTCCTCCCAAATTTTTAATTTATGTTGTTTCAAATTCTCCACTCCCTATTAGCTTTGCTAGTCTTTATTTGAAACGAATAGATTCGCTTCTTATATTGTGCATACCTATAAGTCTATTCCTTCAACAATCATTTCCGGCTATTAGGCCTTGTAATTCAGAGGCATCTAAAATATTTACTCTCAAATACATTAATTGTAATTTAACTTATTTTCCCATCTATTATGTACATTGGAAATGAAAAATTTAGTAATGCTTATTTCTTAATTTATAAGTTCTTCAAAACAATATTTGAAGAAATGCCTAAAGAAAACTTTGAACATAAGTTGATTTATTTACTTTTGCCATATTATTTTGGGAAAAATCTTATAGATATTCTAATAGATAGGTTTAAAGTCTCTTTACAAAATATTCCTCAATTTCTTTTGCCATTTATATTATTAAAAATATATTAAAAAGAATATATAAATAATTTTAAATTCTAACTAGTAATCAACACCCTTCGTATAAGATTTCCCAGATATGATAATAAAGATCGTTTCTTCTTAGTCTCTCTTTATTGTTCACATAAATACAAATGGGATTGTCATTTTTTTAATTTGTTTTAATAATTAATTTAATGATAATTTCCTTTATCGAATGCAAGATAAGATAAGAAATTATTTATTATATCATAATTAATAATTCTTGAATTTTCAATTTCTAAAATAAGTATTCTGATGAAATACAATGTATAAAGAATTCAAATTTCTCCTTAAAGTAACATCGAAATTGTAAGGTTTATTTTTATATAATATGAAAAATAAAGATGATGAATCTATTTTTAACATATAAATTATATTGATCTTCATTTCTAATTAGATCTATTTAGTATAAACAATGAATCTAGAACATTAACTAATATTTATCATCCATAATAATCATAAATTGTGAATCTCTTATATAAAATTATAAAAGAAATACTTGAATTTATGTATATTTTTCATATAAATATTAATAATAATGGATATCGATGTTGATAAAGTAAGCTTTTTAAATATCTTAAGATCATTGAAAAACTCTTAGAAAGCAAAGGAGCCAAATAAGGAAAGGCTGTAAATCTGACAGAGAATGAAATTCGTTCATTATGTGTAAAAAGTAGAGAGATTTTTTTAAGCCAACCAATGTTATTGGAATTAGAAGCTCCAATTAAGATTTGTGGTATAACTTATATTCTATGATAGGTGATATTCATGGACAATATACTGATTTATTGAGATTGTTTGAATATGGTGGCTTTCCACCTGAGGCAAATTATTTGTTTTTAGGAGATTATGTGGATAGGGGAAGATAGTCTCTTGAAACCATATGTTTGTTACTTGCTTACAAAATAAAATATCCTGAAAATTTCTTTTTATTACGTGGAAATCATGAGTGTTCATAAATCAACCGTATTTATGGGTTTTATGATGAATGTAAGAGAAGGTATAACATAAAATTATGGAAAACCTTTACTGATTGTTTTAATTGTTTACCTGTATGTGCTGTGATAGATGAAAAAATTATATGTATGCACGGAGGGTTGTCACCTGAATTAACAAATTTAGAATAAATTCATAGAATTATGAGACCCATTGAAGTACCTGATACTGGGCTCCTTTGCGATCTATTGTGGTCAGATCCAGAAAAAGACATGCAGGGTTGGCAAGGTATTATCTTCACTTATTTTCAAAAGACAATGAGAGAGGAGTGTCTTACATATTTGGTCCAGACGTAATAGCTAATTTCTTAAAGAAAAATGACATGGATTTAGTTTGTCGAGCACATTAAGTAGTCGAAGAAGGTTATGAATTTTTCGCAAAAAGATAATTAGTAACCTTATTTTCAGCTCCCAATTATTGTGGCGAATTTGATAATTCAGGTAATAAAAAGGGATAAAAGAATAGGTGCATTAATGAGTGTTGATGAGACATTGATGTGTTCATTCTAAATTCTAAAGTCTTAAGAAAAAAAAAATGTTCCTTAAGCTAGACCAAGAACCCCTAAATACGTTAATTGAATTAAAAAGTTTAATTTAACATGAAAGAAATTTAACTTATGTATTAATTAGAATTTCAAAATAAAATAGTCTTAGAATAACCATAACAAAAACGAATTCTTTTTATATTTCATTTTCCCTTCTTTTTCATGAAGAAATGAGAAACCATCATTACGAATATACACGATTTTAATAAATCTCATAGCAATAGATGGCTATAACTCGAATTATCCAAATTTTGTTTGTTTTTCTTATGAAAATAGAATATGTTCAAAGTTGTGAAACAATTTCTTTAAAGAAATATTTCAATCATATGAATAAATATGAATATCCGTTATCCTC